TGCTGCTGCTGCTGCTGGTATTGCTATACATTGGAGTAAACTAATGAAAAAGCGCAAAGAAGAAACTATCTTGGCTTAGACCAAAGTCTATATCAAGTAAGGCGTTCTATATTCCAATATACTTGGTTTTCTCTTTTTTCTTGTGTGACTTTATTTTGGTTTTATTTGTATAGAAAAACATGAAGCATAGAGAACAGAAAACATAGAGAAGTAGGCATGTAAATATAATTACGTAAATAAGTAAAAAGTAAAAGCATAAAGAATAGTATAAAATAATTAGCATAATTTACATAAATTTTGCCCACAAAGGAGAATGGTAACTGGTCAAAGATATGTATCTTTCTGAATCCAGCACTGGCATAGTTGAAAAGATGTTGTCAATGAGAGTATTCTGGCTTGTTGTTAATTGAATAGTGTTAGGGAGTGTAGTAGTCATATTTCTGCTATTCATAAATTGAAGTAGTGTCGTTTTTCTTGATCGATTCTTTTGTGAAATCAACATTAAAGTCACCAGCAATGGTTATATGCATATATGTATGACTAACAACAAATTCTAGTGCTTCCATCAAGGTATTTAGTTGGCATAGTGGGGATACATATATGCTGCAATATAAGTTGCTGCTTAATATAAATAATGATATGCTTGTTGATCCACCTGCTTCATCAATAAACATTCTGGAACTGGTTGTATAAACCAAAAAATTGTCATTTGAGTTGTTTGTACTAGGTAAAAGAGAGCTACGAATATAGCAGCAAGAACCAGAAACTCGTGCATTGGTTGAATGGCTATCTATGCGAGATATCATGGTGAAGTTTGGAATATCATATTCTTCATTATTAGGCAGTGTCCAAGTTTTATTGCAAAGAATAATATCAGATGGTAAGTATACTTGATTGCTGATTATCTAGTTTATATGTACCCTCAAGCTTTGTACATTATGTGAAATTAGCTGTATATAATCACTTGTTTCTTGCTTTTGTAGTTGGCTAAATGATAATCCCAACTGTATTGTCAGCTGTCTAATGAGCTCATTTTTCAATTGATTGTTTCGATCTTCTGCTATTGGTCTGGGTGGAACAAATCTGTTACCCTTGCATATTAACTTTAAACCTTCTGCAGAAGTAGCTCTAGAACATGCAACATATAGGAGTGATCGAGACATTCTGTGTGATCCATGATCAAATACAACAACTGATTTATATGTGCCTCCCTGTGACTTGTGTACAGTGAGTGCTTCAGCTGGAACAATTGGGAATTGTATATGGGTTAGATGTATCTGACTTTTGATATTTCTGCGAATTATATTACAGTGTGGTTCTATCATTATCAGATCGTCTGAAATTCCAAGACTACATCGAATTCTTTGTTGCTGTCTCCTCAACTGCTTCCCACTTCTTTCATCATCAAACCTAATCCACGATCATAATGGCTTTCTTAAAACTGTAGAAGTAGATGTTTCAGAGGCAGTGCTGTCTGGTACAATATTTTGGCCATAATCAATCCTCTTCAAGATTCTAGTTGCACCATTGACAAGTCCATCTGCTGTATCTAGGTTTCCAGTCATCATATATTTTCCACTTATTTTTAGCAAAAGCGTTTTTATCAGACCCTGAACATTGGATTGCTTTGCATGATCATCGGCAGAATGTATGAGTCTTTGAATAGCAGTGCTATCCCTGCAATGTCCAGTTACTTGGTCAAAGGATTTGGAGATTGCACCTTCAGTATTCAAGCTGGTAAGTATGTGTTGGTTTGTTTGCTGATCGTATGCATTTGTGTTAAACAGATATATTGGCTTTTGGTTACTGCTTTCAGATAAATTTTTTTCTTGAGCTACAAGGCTTGAAGGTAATGTTCTTCTGCCAGTACTAATTTCCATTGAATCTTCAGGAGTTATTGAAGCCACTCGACTTTGGAGGATATGAATATCGCCTTCAGTCATTGACTCAATTGCCATGTTGTTTAAGGCTACTGCAAATGGAACATCGTCTCTTTGTCACATTATCTCCGTTAATTTATAAACTTTAAACAAATCCCAGATCTTATACCCAAATAAGAATACAAATGGATTTGTATCTCTTGCATGGCTGGTGCTGTAAAGTGGTGTGTCCCCAACTGGTGGAAGTTGTAGGAAGTCACCAAATACAATAACTGATTTTCCACCAAAAGGAACTGATCTATCAAAAATATCTCGAAGTCTTCAATCAACCCTTCCAAATAGTGTCTCTCCTACCATACTGATTTCGTCAATATTAACCACTTTCAGGTCTGCAAGTGCAACACCCATTGAATGGGAGACGTCAGATGAGAGTGAGGAAAGACCTTCTTTTCCACGTTGTGTGACAGGAAGATGGAAGGCATTGTGCAAAGTTTGAGCAGATATGTTGAAAGCAGCCTTTCCTGTTGGAGCACAAAGAAGTATGGATGGTGTGCTCATATCTCTTTCTCTTGTTTTGTCAAACTCACGGAAAAGACTTTGATAAAGTGCTTTTATCAATAGACTTTTTCCAGTGCCAGCTCCTCCCATTACAAAATAATAAAACAGTGTATGTTGTTGATCATATATAGAGCTGTTGCTCTTACGAATATGATCAGTAACATGGTACAAGTATTGTCTCTGCTGCAAGTTCAGCATTGATAAAAGCTCTTGATATTCAGTATTATTTAATCACTTTGGAATATTGATTTTTTCAAGGTAGGTTAATCGATTGTTCTGTGTAGCTCCATTTGGATTTAATTCGATTGTTAAATCTGTTGTTCTGTGATACTCTCCTTCTTCATTGTCATCAATATCTAGCGTGTAACGTCTGAAATCGTTTTCAGCAATAGGTGAGGCCAGGGTATCTGTGTTTCCAATGGGTTCATCTTCTCTTTCTGTATCCATGTTACTACGTTCAAGTGAAGCCATTTCAAAATAATCTTCTAGTACATCATCATCAACCTGACAAAATTCTTTTTTTGCTAGCAGAATAGTCTCAGAATTCTCTAGAAAAACTTCCTTGCAGTTGATACTTAAAAGGTCTTCTTCTTCATTTCTCCAACTTTTGAACAGTATCAATAAGCAACAAAAGTACTCGTCAGCATCTTGATCAATATTAAACTTGTAGTAACGTAGGACATGCGGCTTAGTTCTTTTTCTAATGTAGCCTTGGTTTTCCAAAAGACAATACACTTGGCCTGGCTCTCCATAAAGTGTGTTTTCGTTATTATTCTGTTGAATATGATCTTCTTGGTCTTCTATGGGCTTATAATAAGTATCATTATTTATGTCATTGTGATTGATATAATTAGTTGCAGTATTTCTTGATAGTTGCTTTTTTGAAAACTCAAAATAAGCAGCAAACTGTGCCAAGATCAAATTCTTCAAATCTTGGGGCCTACAAATGTAATGCTCAATTAATCCTGGTTCAAAGCAGCTGGTAGAATTGGGATCCATTGCTACAAGTTCAGACTGCTTCTTTAATATGTGGAGTCGGTTTTCTGGTCTGCTTGTTGGTATAAATACTGTAGCTGTGCTTGCTTCTGACATTCAAATTTGTAGTAAGTTGTATGCTGCTTCTTGAGCAGATATCTTACTAGCATTGTAATAGGTCGCAGCAAGTGACCTCATCATATTAAAAGGTGTCGAGCTACTGTCATCTTTGTGCTTATTGTAAATTTCTTCAAGCGTCTTACTTAAGCCTCTATCAGCCTTGTTTATATAGTCAACTACATATGCGCAGCAAGCATATGGATCGAGAATGAATTGAATATTCATATTTGATCTGAACATACTGAAAATTTTTTCGTTATAATTATTTATCATGACTTCATTCGGTTGTCGTTTTATCATGATTTTGTTCATTTTAAGAGTATTGCGGATAGAGAGTATGTATTCATCAATAGATGTGATATCAACAGCTATTAAGAAACCATCAAAACTCATGGCTGACATTTGAAGAGCTTCATAATGTTCTTGGAGATATCCTTTGATGCGAGTCATATTTTGCTTTAATTTGGTAATCGTAGTTTCTGATAGACCTTCGTTTTCAGTTATTGGGCATAATATCTGAGTTCTGTCCATAGGATAAAATAGAATATTAAATCTGCAAATTGTAATATTGTTTCTTTTTCTTTGGCAAGTAGATGTGTGCATATGACATTGCCTTTTCAGCAATTCTTTCCAGGTGTCCTCGTTACAGCAATATTCCTGTTGATGATGCAGTATTTCACCACATTGTCTCTTACAAGTAATCATACTATCAACAAATTCACAGATTTTTCTTTTCATATCCTCATGAACAGATTCGTCTGTCCATTGATCAGGTTCGTACTTTGGAGCGCCCTCAAGCCATACAAGCATATGAACATGAGGCGAGCCTCTATGCTGGAATTCTATTTGGAAGTAATATTCATTAATGGAATGATTTCCAAAGGCCCATATGATGCTTTCTATGTTTTCTTCAGCTGTCTAAATCGATAGTCAAAGTATTGTGCACATGTTATTAGGTCTTGCTGAATCAGTTTGGCTTTTTTCTCATATGTCATTTGCTCCACCTGTTCTTCTGTAATAGCAACTGTGGTGATCCAGACACTTGGTTGTTGGATTTATTACATCTAAGAACATATTCCTATTATTATAGTAAAACAGCTATCATTACAAGAACAAATGAATAATTTATTTATTTTACTTATGGTAAATCAATAAGACCAATAATTAATTACAGTAAGTACTGTAATTATGACAGCTCAGTAAGTACTGAGTTAATATGAGGACACTGCAATTAGATTAAATTATAAACATAGCAGTACCAGCTCTCTAATATCTAAATGAACTCAGACTTAAGAAATTAAGATGTGACTGACAAAGCAGATCGTGTTTTGATATAAAAAGGACAACTTTGTATTCTTTAATAAAGGCAACCTATATACAGTCTCAAAGTATTCTTATATACATCTCAATCTTTTTACTGTTGATTTTATTCTATAAAACTTCACATTTTTTACTTTGAATTCTATAATGTCTTCCCAACACTCTGCTGCCAACTCTCTTCCTCGTGAAGAACAAAGCCCTCTTACCGAAGTTGGTATTCCCTCTCCTGTTCTGAATGAACAGACACATCTCACCGAAATTGGTGACATTTCTCCTCTCCTTGGATCCACCGCTCTTTCCATCGATGGTGATATTGAAATGATATACACCAGTCTTGATTCCTTGCCACCTCTTTCAGTTGTTGGTTCTGTCCCTCCTACTCCTGTGCCTACCGTCCCATCAGCCGTTAATAGCAACACTAGTAGTTCCATCACTTTGGAAATGTTGTTAGCTTCTGCGAAGGAAGACCTTAGCATAAAGAAGAACAACTTTTATGTGGCTTATGCTAACTATGTGGCTCTTTCGAAGGTCAACCCCATGTCAGACGCGGCCAGACATGCTTCTTCCATTAAAAAGGAAGCTCAAGAATTGTTTGAGGATGCCCAGAAGACCCTCAAGGTGCTTGAAAAAGCCAACGCCCCTCCTGCTATTCTTGAAGACAAGAAGAGCATGGTAGTCCCTAGCAACTTACCTTTCTTGCAGCTCTGCACGGAAACCAGGGTGAAGCAAAATCGTGACGTGTTTGACTCTGTGTACGATTTTTGCCAAGAATTCACTATGGTTTTAGAGTCTCATTCCCTGTCCTTGGACTCATGCTGGGAGCGTCTGCTTCCCATATGCCTGAACAAGGAGGAAAGATCCTGGTTTGAAGACAAACTAAAGGGAAAGGCGTACAAGTGGAAGAAGGCAGAAGGGATTCTGCTGGATCACTATGATACTCCTTTCAGAAGATTTCTGAACATGGGTCGCGTGTGGAAAATGATGCAGAAGAAAGGTGAGTCAGTTCGTGCGTTTGGAGCTAAATTTCAAACAGCTAGAAGACAAGCGTCCTTGGAGGATGGTATCCAGATGGTTCTTTGTTTCTGGTGGAACTTGCGCCCGGAAGTCCGGGAAGCAAGCCTGATCCCATTGTCGGCCAACTATGGCACCAAACTGCCCTCCAAAGTGGAGGATATAATCTCGTTAGTCAGTGTAGCCACTAGCGATTCCACGGTCCTACTCAACCAACCTGCGGAGTCTGGCACCCCTGCCAAATGGAAGTCATTTGCCGATGCCCATAGCATCTCCTCTTCAATAAGCCACAAGGGAAAGAAGAGAGCTATTGCCAGGGACAATGATCCTAAGCACGCCAAGAAGTCTTGGAATTTTAAGAAGGCAATCAAAGATAATGTTTGCTTTTCTTGCAAAGGTGCTTGGGAGAAGGGTCACACCTGTCCTGAAAGGGATAATTACTTGACAAAGGTGTCAAGAATGGCTGTGCGCTCATCTGCTGATAGATCAGTAGCTTCCTCCCCTACTTGTGGTGGTTTCCCCCCTTCTCGTGATAGTCATTTCTCTGTTCGTGGCAACTCTTCCCCTGTTGGTAGTTCCTCAACGTCGTGGTCGATGGACCAAGATAACACAAGTGCTTTGGCCAAGATGGCCTTGAATTAACCATCGCCTTGTTGGACTGTGGCGCTACATTCAGTTCTGTGGATAAGAATTTTTGTTTACAGAATAAAATATCTATTAATTATGTAAATCACATCAACAAAGATTTAGTGAACAATTCCAATGTTCATAAGTATTTTATTCGTTTGGCTGATAGCAATACACATATTAAAAGAATTGGCACTTGTGTGATCAGTATAACTTGTAATAGTAAGACTATTCAGAGAGAATTTGAAGTGATGAACTTAACTAATAGTTATGAGTATGATTTCAGTATTGGTACTGATTATATGTCCACTCTGGGTATTGGTATTTATGGTTTACCTTTATCATATGATGATGCTGATTCAAGTAAGGAACGTAGAGAAGCCGATAGACGCTTCAATAATAAGAGTGATCTTCTTGAATCCATTGAGAGAGAAAATGAACAAAAGGAAAATAATCCGGCTGTAGGTCCCAAACAGTTTGAGGATGCTATGGATTATATTCGTCCGTTCATTAAAGACAATCAAGATATTCCTAAGGGTTCGTTTTGTACTATACCTGAAAGTGTTGTATGTTTGGACACTCCAGAAAATGCTACGGCGTTCAGAAGCCCTTATCCCATTCCTTACAAGATGCAAGGTGTAGTGGATGAACAGGTGAAAGAATGGCTGGACAATGGTATAATTGAAAGAGCGTCTGCAAACACACAATGGAATACGCCTTTGACTGTTGTCAAGAAGACGAACGGTAAAGGAGAAATTACTGGATATCGCGTTTGTCATGATCCCAGATTAATTAATTGCCTGTTGAAGTCAATTGATCGTATGCCTTTGCCATTGATCGGTGAATTGTTTGAAGATTTAAAGGGTGCGAATATTTATTCCACTCTGGATTTGAAATCTGCGTTTAATTCTTTGAGGTTGAACCCAAAGGACACACACAAACTTAGTTTCACATGGCGTGGTGTACAGTACAAACCTATTGGTACAGTGTTTGGTATTAAGCATGTCAGTTCACAATTTCAAAGAACTATGAGTATAGCTTTGGAAGGACTATCTTTTGTACGGTTTTTCGTGGATGACATTGTTTGCGCAAGCAAAACGTTCGAGGAACACAAGGAACACTTGAAGCAAGTAATTGAGAGATTAACAAGGGTCAATTTGAAGTTGAATCCGAAAAAATGTCATTTCTTTCAGAAAGAAATTTATTTGCTTGGTTTTCATATTTCACCTGAAGGAATTACAATGGACCGCAGAAAACTTGTTAATGTTCTTGAATTTCCTCAACCAAAAACGGGTAAAGATATCCAAAGTTATTGTGGGTTGATCAACTATTTTAGAACCTTGATTCCGAATGTATCTTCCATTATGTCGCCATTAGATTCATTGAGAAATGAAAAGTCGATTACCCATTTATGGACAGATAAGCATCAAACTGCATTTAATAACTTGAAAAAAGCACTTTTGAGTGATCTGGTGTTGTCGTACCCAGATATGAACTCTCCTTTTAGTATCAGCTGTGATGCATCTCTTACTGGTATCGGTGCAGTGTTGTATCAAGTCAAGGATGGCAAGAAAAAATATATTTCTTTCGTGGCCAAGAGCTTATCCCAAAGTGAAAGAAAATATTCTGCGACCAAAAGAGAATTACTAGCGTTAGTATTTGCACTCAAGCGTTTTCACAAGTATGTCTATGGTTCTCACTTTACCTTGTACACGGATCACAAGGCATTGACATATCTTCACACCCAACGTGTTGCGAATCTGATGATGATCGCATGGATGGACACGATTTTACAGTATGACTTTAAGATCGTTCATTTGCCTGGTGTTTCGAATGTGCTCCCTGATGTGTTGTCACGTTTGTCTGAAGAGACTGAAACATTATCAAATGAACTGGGTGGGGATAGTGTGGTTAGATCCATCATGAGAAATAGTGCTGTCACTATGGAACCGCTACCAGACATCTTGAGTGGTGAGTACTTTACTCCTCCCACAGAAAATGAAAGGAATAAGTTATTAGTTGAAGAACATTTGAAAGGTCATTTTGGTGTAGAAGCTATACTACATGCCTTAAAGAGAAAAGGTATTTATTGGACCAACTTGAAGAGTCAAGCAAGTGATCTTATACAATCGTGTATACAGTGTCAACGTCACAATATCACAAGAAAAGGATATAACCCTTTAAGACCAGTGACCACAACACTTCCTGGTGACAGTTGGGGAATAGACCTGGCTGGACCATTTACAACGTCGACTAGAGGAAATGAGTACTTGTTGGTGATGATAGACATCGCAAGCAAATTTTACGTATTGCGTGCCATACCTGATAAAAGGGCATCTACGATTGCGTTACAAGTACTGGATGTCATTAGTACATGGGGTCCGATGAGAAAGTTGCAGAGTGATTGTGGACGGGAGTTTGTGAACTCGCTGATGACATGTATAAAAGAGAATGTTGGTTTTGAACATGCGTTGATTTCGCAGTACCATCCTAGAGCTAATGGTGCGAGTGAAAGAGCTGTCCAGTCGGCAGTGAACACCATTAAAAAACAAATAGTTGGTAATGTTGCTGATTGGGATCAGAAGGTACCATCCGCACAGTTGTTTTTGAATAGCAAATATAATGCTAGGACTAAGAGTACGCCATTCTCATTAATGTTTGGAAGGAATCCAAATGACTTCGTCGATTTTAGTAAAGAGAAGGATAGTGCAACTGCTGAACAGATTCAGAAAGAATTGCAAGAAAAAATTAAAAGAATGACTGAGATAGTCTACCCTGCCGTGTTTGAACACGTAAAGCATGTCACACAAAAGCAAAAGGAACGCTTTGACACGAGTCACAAAATGATAGATCTGGTTCCAGGAACTATAGTTATGATTTTGGTGACAGAAAAACAGAATAAATTAGATCCAAAGTATAAGGGATTTTATACTGTTGTTCGAAAGACTGCTGCCAATACTTATGTATTGAAAAATGAAAAGGGATTTTTAGAACCAAGGAATTACCCTCCTTCTTTATTAAAAAAAGTGTCGAATAAGATATTAGAGCAAAAGAATGATTTTTTTGAAGTCGAAGCAATTATTGGTCATAAGAAAGATGATATGAACAATTATTTGTATAGATGCAAATGGTTGGACTATGATGAGTCTCATGATACCTGGGAGCCAGAGGATCACTTTACTGATCCTAAATTCATTAAGGAATACTGGCAAAGAATTGGGGAAGCACCAGAAAGTATCAAAGACATCAACAAAGCCAATAAAAGATTATTGAAGGATATGAAAGTCGTAAATTCCATACCCAAAGAAAAGTCAGGTATAAAAAGAAAGAACTATGCAAAGACAGCTTTGCAAAAGAAGAAACGCAGTAAGGTCTAAATAAAGAGTTATTTGAGCACCACAGTACTCGTATATATATAAAAAATGCATAAAGTACTTGAACGGTATTTAATTAATACCTGGGTGGGGATAATGTGGTGATCCAGACACTTGGTTGTTGGATTTATTACATCTAAGAACATATTCCTATTATTATAGTAAAACAGCTATCATTACAAGAACAAATGAATAATTTATTTATTTTACTTATGGTAAATCAATAAGACCAATAATTAATTACAGTAAGTACTGTAATTATGACAGCTCAGTAAGTACTGAGTTAATATGAGGACACTGCAATTAGATTAAATTATAAACATAGCAGTACCAGCTCTCTAATATCTAAATGAACTCAGACTTAAGAAATTAAGATGTGACTGACAAAGCAGATCGTGTTTTGATATAAAAAGGACAACTTTGTATTCTTTAATAAAGGCAACCTATATACAGTCTCAAAGTATTCTTATATACGTCTCAATCTTTTTACTGTTGATTTTATTCTATAAAACTTCACAGCAACTCCATCAGTTACAAGTTTTAAAATGCATAATAGCTTAGGCCAACTTGCTTCTGCTGCAGATAGAGTTACAAAAATTGTTGGGATACCAAATTGTCTAACCATTGCCAAAAGATTTTTCTTCTTGTTTTTCCAATATTCTGCAGTAGAACGGATACCACTAAATGTCTTATAAGCCTGGTCTTTACTGAGTAATCCATCAATACTGTCATTATTTAAGAAGTCAGATGCAGCGTATGGTACATTGTTGGAGAGTTTTGTTTTCTTCTGGAGAACTGTATTTAGATTATTGTACATTCTGATTATTTGATTTTTTCTGTGCATATACAGTATATACTCTACTCTTTGTGCTGCTCTACAATTGAATCTCCTTGCAATGGACTTTGTCAGGAAAGAGTAAGTCAGAGTATCAGTAGATAATTGCTGGCCACAGAAAATTTGAGGAAAAGCCAAAAAGTCGCTGTCTTTATCAGTCAAAATAGACAAAGGGATTCTTCCATCTCCAGGCGAAAGTCTGAGAGCTTCGTGATCTAAAACTATAGCCATTTCCTGCTCACTAGAGTTTATTGATTCGTGTTCGGTACTACTTTCTTCATTTCCTTCAAAGTCTTCAACCCTATCAACTTCTTCTACGTTTTCAGTATCATTATTGGCAACCTCTTGTACCCAATTATCACTCAAGGAGATATTATACTCTTGATAGAGTGTTGTTGACTGTAGAAATAGTGCTGCTCTTCAAACTTTAGCGGGACTTATATTTCTTTTGATATAGTCTTTGATATAACGCATCCTACAAGCTAAACTCAAGTGAATTGTATTTGAGTCATCAAGATTACGAGGAAGTAAGGAAACCATTGTATCAATATTAACAGGTACGTTGATAATACCGCCTTTACTTCTATACTGCCCAGTTAGTCCTCTGTGTGTCCATATAGACTGGAAAACGTGTCAAGGTGCAACAAGTCTTTCTTCTAATCTTGTCAGGTCGTCTAGACAAACGACATGATCAGGAAAGTGGAGACCATTAGAGAGAGCAAGAGTTGGAAGTGTTTTTTTCTTAAGTGATGTTGTACAGGTAGAACATAGTGAAATATTGTCTATAATATCTTCACCAACGAAAGTGCTTGGTATCTTATGATTGTCAATTGCCCAAAAGGTTTTTTCAACAATATCTTCTGAACAACCCCAATTGCCTGTAAGAGTGGTTCGTTTTACTGAAGATATATCTTTTTGAAAGAAAAGGCCTCCACAATATCCGCATACGCATGTAGGACCCTCTCTGATTATTGATTCATACTTTCTTTGTATACTACTCCAATTATTTGTGCCAACGTCATTCAGTCTATGCCTTCTTACTACTCACTCATTCTCTTCAACAGCTCTACTTTGTCTACTATACCTATACTCACGCATATATTCTGCTCGAGAATTATGGTTCTCCTCTTCTGTCTCTGCCGCTTCTGTCTCCACTACTTCTGTTCCCACTATTTCTGTTCCCACTACTTCTGCTTGAATTACTTGTGCTCTCACTACTTCTGCCTTAACTACTTCTATTTCAGCTGTAAGTTGGCATCTGCGTCGATACTCCCACATATACTCTGCATGAGAATTACTAATATTCTCTGCTTCTACTGTCTCAACTACTTCTATTTCAGTTATTTGTTGGCGCCTGCGTCAATATTCTCGCATATATTCTGCACGAGAAGTATTAATATTCTCTGCTTCTACTGTTGCTATCACTTCCATTTCTGCAGTTTGCAGGCAATTCCGCTGATATTCTCGCATATACTCTGCTTGAGACATTGAATTCCGTTGTTGTGTTTCTGTTTCGGATGTTTCCACTTGCAATGATTGCCAACGATTACGCTGGTATTCTCTCATGTATCTTCGTCTTCTTTCGGCCCTTTCTTCAGGGGTAACAGTGTGTCTAGGCATTTTGTACTTTATAATAATATAATATAAGAGTAAAAGTAAGAGTAAGAAGAAAGTATAATATGCTTAGTAAGCTATAAAGAAGAATCAAAAGCGTCACATGGTTAAAGTGTTTACATTTTTACTAGTAAAATTTTTACAAACTTTCACTGCTTAAAATTGTAACAAACTCTGCATACAAAATTGTTACAAAATCATTGTTTACACTGTTACGAATTTCCCTTTTTCTTAGGCTTTCTAACTCTGTAAACTCCATATAGAACGTCAAAAAGGATGTCTATCATGCTTTTAAGAAACACTGATCCAAAGAATGGTCTCTGTAATGGTACACGTCTGCTATGCAACCCATTTGAGTTGTTTGTTCTAAAAGCTACAATTGTAACAGGATCTCATGCTGGAAAAGTTGCACTTATTCCAAAAATCAAACTCAGTCCATCTGAATCAACATCATCTATCAGTTTTCAGCACTGACAATTCCCTGTTCGTCTGGCTTTTGCCATGACAATTAATAAATTCCAAAGACAGACCCTTGATCGTGTTGGCCTGTATCTCCCAGCACCAGTATTTAGACATGGTCAGCTTTATGTTGCTCTTTCTCGGGTTCGGAAACCATCTGGAATCAAAATTATGCTTGACACTCCATATGACCCAAATATGCCACAAACTATTGTATATACTAACAATGTAGTATACAAGGATGTATTATCCAGAAACTAAGCCAAAAAACTTATATCTTTGATTTATGCCTTAAATATCATAATAAAATAATTTATTCTATGGCTTCTATTTATTATATAAACACATATGTTAACAAATATAAAATAAAATAAAAGTATTAATTGTAATATATAGTACTTGAACTTTCTGTAGAGAAGAATTACATAAAACTTGCAGGGGGGGGGGGGGGTCCCCCAAAGGGAGGGGGGAGCTCTACTCCCAAAAAGAAGGCTAGTAAAACAGTTAAAAAGAAAGGAAGTTATAAATCACAAGACTTACATCAAACTGTTAAAAAGAAAAAGAGATACTCTGCACATGAGTTATATGGAATCTAATCATCTTTTGATTGCATTCAATATCTTAATTATTAATAAATATCTATTGTAATGTAAATCATGTCCATATAGCAAAATGTCTTTACTATTAAATGACTGTTTGCTTTGAACATCTTCAAAATTATATTTTTTTTTCTTATTACTACCAACTATTATTATTATTATACTTATAAATTATATATAAATAAATAAAAATTAGATCATTTTTAATTGTATAGTAATTGTAATAAAAATATATCGATCTAAAGAATAAAGAGAATATATATATATATCATTTTAGCTATTACCAAAAGCTATTCAATATAAATAATAAATAAAAATAAAATAAAAATAATAATTCCTTTATATGTTACAATTGTTCTACGCCCTGATACCTGGATTTGGATTAATTAACAACAAAAAAAAAAAGTGTTGGCTATTACTACTTTTTAATTTAAAAGCAAAGATCATTAATATTATATACTACATTTTATAATAATAACTGATAAAGTAAAATGAAACATATGATTTTGCATTGACAATTGGATATTCAAGAATTTATATATACTGTTACTTCAAGAAGCTATATTGAACCGTGCACTTTCTGCAGCATTTGTAATGTGATACACATGTTAATTCCAAAAGGTTAACCCACGCTACTTTGACAACTGACTGTTCCTTTTGTCACCTTACTTTTATTGCTTTAACAAGACATTCTAATGAACTTTTACAGCTATACTCTACTTAATTTAGCTACTATTACTTGAAGAAGTCATCTTACTGCGCCTTGACACATAGATTTTACTCTATTATTCAATATTACTTGAAGATATTCTCTTGAATTTATTCTAATTATAATATTACTTCAGCTTATTGTTGATTTACATACAATTCAAATCTACTTTAAATTATGACAAGATGTCTTTATTTCTTTATTTTGGTTAAAAAATAAAAAACAGAAATGCTATAAAACCCTGTCAATTCAAAACCAAAAAAAAACATATTTATTACAAACAACCACCCTATCTCCCTCTCATATCTTTTAAAACTGCAACACATTCACCCATTTTCTTTATATATGCAATTTAAAAAAGAAAAAGAAAAAAATGCTTCCAACTCAAAAAGTTTGTGCTGCATGTAAACTGTCTACTCATAAATGGAGCAACAGTAAGCTCTGTCCCATGAACAAAAAAAACCGGGCTCTCTTGATCCCTCAAAAGAGAACCAGCAATAATCTCTCTGCTCAAGAAGAATATCAGGCAGAGAGTATTAGAGGTAACATTAAAACAGATTACTTTAATTCATCAGATCAACTTGCATAGTTTCTAACTTATTTGCTTTCACCTGCATTTATATGTTTATTTAGCTGGTGTTTCAAGACCAAGGGTTGAAGCTGTTCAGAATTCTGTGATACTTACTGTGGCAGAAATCAATGCTCTCTTCCGTGCTGCCCAATATTCCGCAGAGAGTAGTCGAGATAAATAAATATAGCATAATTGATTAATATTCAGCAAAAATTCTGATCATTTTTCCTACTCTATTTATTTTTCTATTTAGCTGCTGCTTCAAGACCAAGAGTTGAAGCTGTCTGGGATTTTGTTGTACCCACACAACTATTGTCAATTGACCTCTCCTTCACAGAACAATATACTGCAGAGAGCGACAGAGATAATTTTTAAAATTATATATAAATTGCCACAATTATTAATTATTTTTTAATATTTTTATTATAGATCTAACTGCCGCTTTTGAGGCTTTGCAAGTTTCTGATGTTGAGAGAGTCTTGGATTTGATTACCACCACTGCCACTGCTACTGCCACTGCCACTGCCACTGCTACTGCCACTGCCACTGCCACCGTTATTCCCTGCTGTTCCAGCTGTAATGGAATTGGCCACCAACAGAGTAACAGCTTGCAGTGTCCTAACAACCAAAGGGACCGCAATTTTATCCCCAGCCAGTTAACTACCACTCACAACATAGCCTGGCATACTACAGCCTCTGCAATGATACCCGCCTTATATTCAATGACTTTGGCATATATGTCATCAAGGCTACCATTGTAACTGGATCAAGTGCTGAAAAGGTGGTGTTTATCCCCAGAATCAAGCTGAACTCAACTGGATCGACCATGTCCATTGAGTTCAAGCGATGTCAATTTCCAGTCCGCCTTGCCTTTACCATGACTATCAATAAGTTCCAAGGCCAGATGCTTGACAAAGTTGGTCTGTATCTTCCCGACCATGTCTTTGGTCATGGGCAGTTGTATGTTGCTCTCTCTCAGGTCCGAACTCCAAACTCAGTAAAAATCATGCACTATGAATGAAATTGGTGTGGCTGCCACTAATGGTAGTGGATATGCCACTAATTTGTTTTAATTAACTAATCAAATTGGTTCTAGAGTTTGGTAAAAATATTAAAAAAAGTTGAAAAAGATAAAGTTGTATTTAAGAGCAAAATAACATAATAGAAATGTCTTTTTTTTTATATTTATATCATATAGAGAGTATAATACCTTGATTTATTTATTTTTTATTTAAAATCGTAAAACTTTTTTTTGTCTCATTGTCAAGATTGTTGTATTTTGACAATACTACTAATCAATGTGGCAGACCAACTATCTTTTCCACTAATTTATTGAAAGTGTGGGATTTAAATTGATTTTTTTTATATTTTATTTTGCTCGAATTTTTACTTTGCGTTTATTTTTCCCTTTCTACATAAATGAACATCATCTTGAAGTTATTTTTTAAGATGATGGTAAATCTCTATAGCTACTTTATACATATAATTTACATGACTTGCTCTCTATTTTATTTTCACCTGTTTTAATTTGCTAAAATAAAAGTATATTTTAATTATTGAAAAAACAAAAAGTTACTTTTTATTGCTTGTGAGAGGAGTAAGACATATTCCTGTTACAATGACAGAGGCTCGTGTTGACTTTATTTCAATAAGAACAAATAAGATACCAAGTGCAACTGTAAGAATAAATGCACTGATCAACTATCTGTAGAAAAAGAAACAGGAAACAGATATCATTGTATTCTTAGAAGAGCAAAAGCTCATTCAAATGCAGTTCCACATGTATACAAGGCAATGCCAATATATTATGCATGAATACGGCATTGTAGAGACAAACTGAGGAAGATTGAGCAGTCAACAAAAGTTGTACTACTTCTTGAGACTTGAGGAGTTAATTTTGAAATACCAATTTGCTTTACACAAATTCAGAGATCAATGAGTTGCTGTTCTTCTCCTTCAAGAAGTGATGAAGGCTGAATACCAAACGGAGAAGTAACAAATCATACATATTAAATTTAGTGTCATGCAAGATATTTCATTAATACTTTTTTATTAAAAAATATGCTGGCAAAGTTAAGCAGAGAAGTTTAAGAAGAAGAGTTGAGGTATATATAGATTGTTCAAATGTAAAACTTAATACACTGACTAAACTATATTTTTAAAAGTAGTCTTGGTGAGGCAGATAGTAGTGTGGCAGCCTCACCACCAAGAAGAAACATGCGGAGCCATCGAATTTATTTATTTTTTGAGCTCCCTGTTATTTCCGTCTTCCAGAACAACAACAAAAAATTCTCTTTACAATCTCTTTTTTTTAATCAATGACAAATCGACTTATTTCCTCGACTTTCTTCCATTCCTTTTCCTGTAATCACATTCAAACAACATGCACCACTCAAAATTTAAGACACTTTTGATATAAAATCACTACAATTGTGTTTTGACTTTTAAAAAAAGACTAACACAACTAGAAAAACACATTTTTTTGCAGTTTTTTTTTCAAGCAGCTACTATATAATACACTCTCGACTTCCTTTCACAAAATACAGCCAATGTAAGTTACAGTCTTACTAAAGTGATATTGTATAGAGTATATTAAACAATCTGGCCAGCTATTAATTAGTAGGTGCATCTAATTACTTGGGGCTTGTGCTGCAGTATGATAGCTACCAGACAATCTTTGAATGCAAACAAATTATAAGGGTAAGCTTACTAGGCCATGTGTATTTACTTTGTATATTAACTTATTTTTGTAGACTTCGTCTTTAATCACAATTACTTGAAGCTGTTAATGAATATACTTGAGGTAATTACAAAAAAAGACAATTTTTTTAAGTACATATATTCATAGTATTCTTTACTTTAGCTTTACACAACACTGAAATAGGATTGCTTGAACGTTCTTTTAATAGAAAAGCATCAACAATTATAATTCATAATGAAGAATCCTGTCATCTATAGCTGATATATCTAAAGATATGTATTACTTGTATAACTAATATATGAGTTAGTATATGTGCAAGGTATATTGCTAGTATTATTATTAAGCTTTTATATGAATATGCATCATTATATGCCATGTAAAAGACATAGTATACTATATATTATATTGTATAGTCCATTGTATAGGCTATAGTATAAAACATTGCATAGTACATTATACGGTACACCATATAATACATCGTATAGTATATCATATAGTACATTGTACAGCCTATTATATTTATATTGTATATCCTACTGCGTAGCAAGCATATGAATAATAATAAAATCCACCAATTTTACCACCAATTTTTCTATATATGGATTTACTACCAATATGTTTGAAACTAAGCCAATCAAGCATGCTGCCTTACTATTCAGTAAATTAGTGGCAATACCACTATGATTAGTGGCAAGCATAGCTCATTTACCACCAATTTCCTCTGCTTTAGCGTAGTGTGGCCAGCCACCAAATTTCATGCAAATTAGTAGTATTGCCACACCAATTTCATTCATAGTGATGGTTGATATGGACAGTATTTCTACCAAACCAACCAGTAATGTCTATATAAACAATGTTGTTTATAATGAAGTGCTTTCTAGAAATTAACTAATCTGTTCCATATCATATGCTTTCTGCCCTATGTCTTTATCCAAATATACCAATCTTTTTCTATATGCTTTATTTTTATTTTTGTATTTTTTGTATTCATGTTATTTCTGCTTATACTTATCTTTATCTTTATGTTTTTGTTTACTTTGTTTTTCAAATATTTTAATAATTTTTTTTTAAAATTGTCAATACCAATTGTGTATATGACAAAGTATAACAACTTCTTTTCTTTTTGAAAATATCAAAATACAAACTCTTAAAAAAATATGGCTTCAAGATATATTCCTTACTATTATTTTATTTTTATTATAACAATAAACCTTTATAATAGAGAGAGTGACTATTTGTTCATTTTTGAAGGTTGCTATATTTATTGAGTACCTGAGTTTGAATTGTAAAGATTTAATCTCAGAAACCCCTATTCAAATTTGAATTATGAATAGTATAAATATGGAATTCAATTAAATATTAGAAGCAAAGATAGATGCTCTATTTTCTTTTTGTTTTTACTCTCATTTATTTATTTTTTTATACATACATTTTGCATCATACAGTCTTAAAGATGAACATTGGATTTATTGCTGGGATCTCTTCACTTTTGGAACAAGAAAGAGCATCTGTAGAGGCTGACAAACAAAGAAAGAAAGTGAAGCTTTTTGATTGAGAGACTTTGAGTGATACCCAATACAAAGAGGAATTTAAATTCTCTTTTCCTGAAGTAAGCTACATAAATATATCTACCTATTAATAGAAATATGACTATTGAATAATAACACTTGAATATAAATTAGATTAAAATAATGCGTGAAGCAATGGAACTACCTGTAATATTCCACCTATGCCATTCAAAAAGACATGTGGTTCATGTGAGCAGAGAGTTTGCATTTGCCATGATATTGTACCAATTTGCTTTCCCTCGGAGATACTGTTCAATGAAAAGAGAATGGGGAATGAATGCAAAGGATTTAGGGTTCATTATAAAAAAAATGTCTGTCTTGTTGATAAAGAAATTCAAAAACAGATTGGATTTTGACACGCGTCAGTTTTCAGCAGAAAATTGTGAGCATTTTGCAAGGGCAATCTATGAAAGAAGTAATATCATTATTTAATAATATCGTTCTTGTTACATTTACAGACATATCTGTTTTTTATTAATAATTAAATATATTATAGCAAAAACATATCTCAGTGTAATTGCTTTCATTGATGGTACCATGCAGAAATTATGTTGTCCAAAATCAGAAGAAAAGCAAAAAACTCTATACAATGGATGGAAAGTAAGATATTGATTGGTGAAAACATCTAAAGAAAAATATATAATACCAAATGATTTTAAATCACTCACTAATATGCTTGTCTATTTAATAGCATATTCATTGTATAAAGTACCAGGCTATTGCTATACCTGATAGTATCACCAGTAGTTTGATTGGACCTTTTGTTGGATCTACTCACGATGCAAAATTTTTTGATGAAACCAAGACTTTGGACCGTTTGATTCTGTATCTTACAGTCGTGTCTGGGGACAAGTACCCACCATTTGGATATGTTATTTATGGAGACCAAGTCTACCCGCGATCATACAAGGTTTTTAAGCCGTTTCCACTAGATGAAACACTGAAGGATGGTAAAATATTTACAATTGTACTTATTTGTTACACATATAGACTTTTAATAACTGTAACAGAACTTTATTATATATACTAGCCTTCTTTTTGGGAGCGGAGCTCCCCCCCCCCTGCAAGTTTTATGTAATTCTTCTCTACAGAAAGTTCAAGTACTATATATTACAATTAATACTTTTATTTTATTTTATATTTGTTAACATATGTGTTTATATAATGAATATAAGCCATAGAATAAATTATTTTATTATGATATTTAAGGCATAGATCAAAGATATAAGTTTTTTGGCTTAGTTTCTGGATAATACATCCTTGTATACTACATTGTTAGTATATACAATAGTTTGTGACATATTTGGGTCATATGGAGTGTCAAGCATAATTTTGATTCCAGATGGTTTCCGAACCCGAGAAAGAGCAACATAAAGCTGACCATGTCTAAATACTGGTGCTGGGAGGTACAGGTCAACACAATCAAGGGTCTGTCCTTGGGATTTGTTAATTGTTATGGCAAAAGCCAGACAAACAGGGAATTGACAGCGCTGAAAACTGATAGATGATGTTGATTCAGATAGACTGTGTTTGATTTTTGGAATAAGTGCAACTTTTCCAGCATGTGATCCTGTTACAATTGTAGCTTTTAGAACAAACTGCTCAAATGAGTTGCATATCAGACGTGTACCATTACAGAGACCATTCTTTGGATCAATGTTTCTTAAAAGCATAATAGGGCATCCTTTTTTGAGGCGAAGATTGTGAGGGGGCAGGGATCTAGGATCAATAGTATTCAAAAATTAAATTGGATATGCCAATAGATCATCTTCACTATTGCCTCAATTAACACTTTTGAATTCATGGACTGCGCCTGGGAATATATCAAGAAGGATATTGTTGATTGTTGTAACATCATGATTTTTGGGTATAAGTATTGCACAACACATGAGGAAATCGGCACTTTCTGCATTTGCATTGAGATCAGAGAATACTGCATTAGTCAGGTTGAGTATATTACTGCCAGGGATTAGCATATCTTGAGGAATGGGTATGGTGTCTTCCCCGCCAGAACTGAGAATAGTACCCTCGCCAACTTTTAATAGAAATTCAGCAAAGTCTCTGAGTTCATTTGCTTCCTCTGGTATAGTAGCTTGGGAAATACGCATATTGATTATCAACTTTAATGGAGTAACGCATTGCCAATCACAGGCCTTATTTATACATTGCTCCACAATATAAGCTTTTGATGCTCTGGGAATTACAGGAAGAACCTGCCAAAAATCACCACCAAATACAACCAATTTTTTACCAAATGGCACTGCTTCGAGTAAGGGGTTTACGGTCTTCATAATGTCTTGCATTGAACAGTTGACTGCATTAAATATATCTTTACTAATCATTGACGCCTCGTCCCAAATGATCAGTTCAGTTGCTCTGAGTAAGTTGGCTATTTGCGAGTTGACTGATATAGAGCACATAGAGTTATAATGTATTTCAAGTGAAATCTTGAATCTTGAATGTGCAGTTCGTCCACCATCAAGAAGCAATGCAGCAATACCACTGGTAGCAACTGCAAGAGCAGATTTTCCTTGTTGATGTACATGACACAAAAGAGCATTAAATACAAATGTCTTGCCTGTCCCACAAACATCTGTTATACATCTCTTGCGTAGGCTCCAAGAACTGGTCTTGATGTTGAAGTCATTCTGAATGTAAATAGTCTTCTATTATTGAAATCTCGGTAGGACATCCAAAGAGAGAATGGATCAGATAGTCCATAGAAAACCAAAAGAATTGCAAATAGTCGCCTTAGTGAATATGGGAGCTCATATGATTTAGCCTCTTCCATGCATTCCTCTCATTTCTTGTCATCCATTAACAGTCCTAAAGCTCGACACGCAGCTTGATTTGTTTCATATAGTTGCCCCTCTACTGTCCAAAGATTCTGGAAGCTTGTAGCACCTGGAACATTAAGAAGCAGTACTCTTAAGAAATATTTTTCTGGGTCTCTTGGAGATATGTTATATATTCTGCCAATTGTTTCTCTGTTAGATGTTTTGCGTTTTGTCCATTTTTTGTTTTTCTTTGACCAAACGAAGTGAGTTGGAAAATCTATATACAGATATTCCCGTGCTGTTATATTGTATGTGTTATATGAGAACCACCCTGTCAATGTTGTGTTTGTGCTTGCGTTTGATAATTGATGTCGATTTGTAGAATCATAGAAATATACTGGCTGAGAGTTTTCAAGATGGATTGCTAGTCTTTGGTGGGATGGGTGCTCTTGCTGCAGTTTAAATGAGAAAATTCTCCAGCATGCTTCAGAGGCTGGTACATAGTGAGCATCCAGAAACTCATTGACTTCATTTACAGCTTCTTGCTGAATATTAGTCATATTGATGCTGGTATTGGTGGTGGTACTGGTACTGGTACTGACTGATTGAATTTTTGCCATAGCTCGATCATAGCCTTTGTATACATATTTGTATAGATATTTTACAGCTGATACAGAAGTGCAGATTTCAACATTGATGTGGGCATCATATTTTGCACACAGATATAAATTGTGCAGAACCACCCATCTGTTGTCCAGTGATGCTGAGCCTCTGACTACTGTTATCCCATTATTTCTTCTTTTATACTTTGGATATCTAGATCCATCATCGACTGTTTCATCACAAAAATCTTTTGGAAAATTCTTTTTGCATTTACCATTTTCCATGCATGGTGCCTTTGGGTACCTTATACCACATGAACTGTGTAGCATACTACGGCAGACAGTTCTATAGGCCAAGGGTTTTGTGACTGGATCAGGAAATTCAGCAGAAACTATAAGGTCATAGTCTTCTGTTGTCATTGGTTTGTCATAGCTAGATAGGATCAGAAGAATGTGTGTGTGAGGGAGTCCTTGTTTTTGAAACTCTATGACATATATAAAGGCTTTGACTTTCCCCAAAACATCTTTCTTTGTCAAGTCGTTCATTAGCTCTTTAAGCTTCATATTGAAAACATAGGAACAAAGATCTGGTCTGTCTGCTGCTTTTTGGCCTGCTACAAGTGCATTTGTAATTTCAGGCCAATGCGTATTGTAGGTGAATGTGATGAAAAGATCTGGTTTGCCAAAACGGCGTACGATACTCATTGCATCCTGGTAGAGCTGGCCCATGTGACGGGGGCTACCAATAAAAGTAGAAGGAAGGATGACACGTCTTCCAATGTTGGCAAAATTGTTATCCTCAACGTTAATAGCATCTTGTATTCCACTGTAAAGGTCTACTCGAAGGCAGTTCTGATTACTGGCAAGAAAGTCTATTCTGTTATGTTCAATCTTTGCATATATATCTACAACAAATTGCTGGAAAAGTCGGCCAAAGAGATGGAGGAGATGGAGAGAATGAGGGCAGTACGTAAGTCGGTTGGAATACCAATGCATAGCACTAACAGTTTTTCCTGACAAAGATTTTGATTCGATTGTCCATCCGTCCTCACCAGAAAGGAAGAGCAAGACATAATGAAGAGCATCATATGATCTATGATACTCATTTATTTTTTGTAGCTGGTTGGTTTGTGTGTGCAGTACGATGTCTCTATAAGAACCTCTTTTATTATTTGTAATTAGAATAACAACCTCGTCAGCAATTGGTGCATTATATCTTCTTTGATCTTGGGGACCTTTAGCAACCAAGCATATAGCAACATCTTCTACATGTTTATTCTTCTGTGATACTTGATCCATTGATCTGAACAGAGAAACAAAAGGATTTGTCTCTATGAGAATCGATCAAATTTTCTCCAGAATATCTGCTTTCAAGTATGGAGCATGATGGCAATGGTGCTGGGCTTGCGATGCTGGATCATGTATGTATACTTGAGCAAGTTGAGGGTGATCAATATCTTGGGCTCTTGATGGACGAATAGACCCAATTCTGTGACATATAGTGCCATGTATTCTGAAGCAGTACGCACCACCTTGGTTATTTGCCACAGAGTTGTCAATTTTAGCTCCCAGCGATGTGAAGCTTAAGGTGCTGTTGTAGCCTCTGATTTTACTGAGAAAATTTTTCCCATTGGATGTTCTGTAATTTAGAAGCTCAGAAATTCCAGGTGGTGTTGGCTCAAGAGAAGGAAGAACATATTTTCCCTTGCCACAGCACATGTTAAATTTCGATCTGCGGATAGACAAATCAGTGTCCTTCTCTTTCAACCACATCAATGCTCCACAAAATCTACAGACAACATCCATATTCCCTCTGCTATCGATTTCTGGCTCAGATATATTTTGGAGTCTGGCAATGTTGGCAACGTTCTGGTTTTGAGGATTCTGATTTTGTACCAGTATCTGTACATTGTTAGGACACATCAGGCTAGTTATTCGAAGATGATTTGTTCTCAAACAGCTTGGACAATGACGGGTAGCAGTGCTTTCATTTATTGTCATGGTTTCTTCCTCATGCTCAATAGTAGGTTCTTCAGCAAGGATAATAGTTGGATCAACAACTGTGTCCACAATTATTTGTTGCTCTTTAACTGGATTTATTTTTACTCTGGATGACGCAGCTAAATATATGAATAGTAGATCAATTGAATTAGACTCTTATAATTCTTATTCTTTTTTTTTAATTCTTTAGTATTATATCCACTACTCTTTGCAGGAAATTCTTCTTCAATTGAAATATTCTCATTTGTTCTTTTCTGAGGGATATAAAGTGTATTTTGTTTCTTATACAAAGGATAAAGGACACTGGATTTACGACTATGACCCATAAGCTTGCATGAAGCACAACGTTTCTCAGTAGAAGACATTTTTGATTATTTTATTATTGAAATTTGAGGTTATAGATTATTTAAAATATGTGTAAAAAGTTTTTTGAAATTTGAAATTCACTGCAGTTTTAATAAAATGGCCCCTTAAAAGATATCATGCATGCCTTTCTCCAAATGAAAATATATTACCAGATTAAATTGCATGGCAGATATCAGAACACAGTGCAAATAGCCTCATAAAATAATTAGACTAAGTATTGTATGCTTATTTATCATGTCTTGTCTTGACTATCTATTAGACTAAATGATATTTTGTATGCTGAACATTATTTATTTATTTATTTTTAATTTTTAATTTATGTTTAATATGAAGACTTATAAATATTTATATTATAATTATAATTAATTTTATATTTTTATATTTTTCTATGCTCTTAAGAAGAGTAATATGAAAATATTAGTTAGAGAATAGAATAATAAATTCAAAGACAGACTCTAAGTCACGTGCTTGTATTCCAACTTTTTAAAGATATAGAAAAGTGCAATCATAAGTCATGTGATATACAGGGCTGGTTGATTTTAATAATATGTACTAGGGGAGCGGTGCTCCCCCCCCCCTTTGGGGAGTCCCCCCCCCTCCCCCCTCCCTTCGGGGGGGCCCCAGAGCCTACTGGAAGTTAATATAAAACCCTTCCCTATTGGAAGTCTAAGTATCATATAGCACAATTAATAGGAACATTTTATTTGAGTGAATTATATGAAAAGAAAGGATATGTATAGATGTTTTATTATTCAAAAAAAATTGGTTAGATGAGTTTATAGTTTATATTATATATAATTTTTTACTAAATGTCAAAGACTTCCTTAAATACAACGTTGTCTGTAAATACAGTATTTGCTGTTTTGTTAGAATTTGCTGGTGTATCAAGCATTATCTTGATTGTAGAAGGTTTTCTGACCCGGGATAGAGCAACATACAGCTGGCCATGGGAGAATACTGGGGCAGAGAGATATAATCCAATGCTCTCAAGAGTTTGACCTTGTGACTTGTTTATTGTCATTGCAAATGCGAGACGAATTGGAAATTGGAACCGCTGGAATTCAATTTCACCATTTGATCCAGATGGATTAAGCTTTATTCTTGGAATAAGAGATACTTGCCCGGCATTGGATCCAGTAACAATTGTTGCTCTGATGACAGATGTTCCAAAAGAGTTGCAAATCAGGCATGTACCATTACAGAGGCCGTTTTTTGGGTCAAGATTGCGAAGAAGCATGATAGAACATCCTTTTTTTAAGGACAGTGAGTGAGGTGGTAGGGATCCAGGATCAATGGTATTTAGTAGCTCAACTGGATATGTCAACTGATCATCTTCATCAATTCCCTGGTCGACGCTCTTAAACTCTTGTGCCTCTCCAGAAAACTGGCTCAGAAGAATATCATTGAGTTTCTTGACATCTTTATTCTTAGGAGTAAGCAAAGCACGGCCCATGAGGAAATGAGGGTTGGCTGCATTAGAGGAGAGATCATGGAAAACTGCTTTGGCCAGATCAGCAGGATTACATCCAGAAATTAACATATGGGACGGAATTGGGATGGTGTCATCACCACCTGTTGTGTGGGCAGAACCACTATCAACTTGCAAGAGAAATGCTCCAAATTCTCTAAGCTCTAATGTTTCTTGTTCATTATTTGCTTGGGCAATTCGCATGTTTGTTGTAAGCTGCAAGATTTTTACATTTCTCTATGCAGATGCTTTCTTGATACATTGGCTTACAACCTGAGCTCTTGTTGCCTTGGGTATAACAGGAAGGACCTGCCAAAAATCGCCTCCAAAGACAAACAACTTCCTTTCAAATGGAACATTTTCAAGCAATAGATCGACAGCCTTCATTATATCTTGCATGGATCTGCTTACAGTATTAAAAACATCTTTACTAATCATAGAAGCTTCGTCCCAGATAATCAATTCCGTTCTTCTAATAAGTTGTGCCATTTGCGAGTTTGCGTTGATGGAGCATAAGGAGTTAAGATCAACTTGCATTGGAATCTTAAACCTGGAATGTGCTGTACGCCCACTGTCTAACAGCAATGCAGTAATTCCACTTGTTGCTACTGCAAGAGCAATTTTTCCTTGTTGGCAAGTTTTTTGAAGCAAGACATTAAAGACAAATGTCTTTCCCATCCCACCTGGACCATTGACAAAGTACAATTTTGGGGCTCCCACGTTTTCTTCAATTGCACTTAATACTGTTGTATAGATACGTCTTTGTGAATTATTGAATATCAATATATCTGGATCTGGCAAAAGCTGGGCTTGATCGCATAAATCTTCTTGTTCTTGTATGATGGCTTGAACATCTTGTCCATTTGGGCTAAAGTGCTGGATGTCAGGCATTGGTAGAAGAACAAATCCAGTGAACAACATGAGAGACATAGAGTTGGCAGATAGATGACTTTCGATATCCCATAAACATCTGTCAAACATATCTTGTGTGGGGGCTAACGCAGGAATTCCACTACTTTCTCTTGCCAAATGAAGATAATCTTCAATCATAGAATCGCGATAAGCAAGCCACAAAGAGAGAGGATCTGATACTGCACAGAAAATCAAAAGAATAGCAAAGAGTCTTCGTAAAGAAAATGGGATCTGATGAGCTGCTGTCTCTTCCATACAGTTACTCCACTCATCATCATTCAAAAGTAATCTCAGAGCACGACATGCAGCTTGGTTTGTTTTATACACACATCCTTCTACTGTACGTATGTCTTCAAAGCTTTTGGACCCTTTAACATTATGCAGCAGTAATCATAACAAATATTTTTCAATATCTCTTGGAGACACTGTGTAAACTCTGCCAATCATTCCTTTATCGAACCTCTTATGTGCTGTCCATTTTCATTCTTTTGTATTCCATACATAAAGAGAAGGAAAGTCAACGTAAAGAAGTTTTTCAGATGATGGGTGTGTAGCATTATAGTTGAAATATCCCATTAAAGTAGTGTTTTTTCTGGAATTTGCAACATCCTCTGGGTTAGAAGATGGATTATAATATACGGGTTGGGCATTTTCCAGATGGATTGAAAGTCGTTGATGGCTGGGATACTCTTGATGAAGCTTGAAAGAAAATATTCTCCAGCATGCTTCAGAAGCGGAGACATACCGAGCATCAAGAAACTCATTAACTTCGTTCACATGCTCTTGTTGTTGTTGTGGAGCGGAATTGGTGGGTGTAGGCTGCACATGGGCCATTGCACGATCATGTCCTTTATATACATATTTGTAGAGATATTTTAAGGCAGAAACAGAGGTGCTAATCTCAACATTTATATGAGCATTGTATTTTGCACATATGTATCTATTGTGTGGAACAACCCATCCATTTTCCATGATCTTTGGCCCTCTTCTAATAACTTTTCCATTTCGACTGCGTTGATAAATAGGATATCCGTTTCCACCATCGCTAGTCTCATTGCAAAGCTTTTTAGAATAATTCTTTGAACAGATCCCATTCTTCATGCATGATGCTTTTGGATATTTCTTTCCGCATGGGCCATGCATCATGCATTTTTTTACTGTTTCATATGCCAATGGCTCAGTTTCAGGATCTGGGATTTCAGCCGAAACTATTCTGTCAAAATCTTCTATTATTTTTGGTTTATCTTGTGGTCGCAAAATCAAAAGAATGTGGGCATGAGGAAGTCCGCGCTTTTGGAATTCAATGACATATATAAAGGCCAAAACTTTCCCCAGAATATTTTTTTGTAAGGTCAATCATGAGCTCTTTGAGCTTCATATTGAAAACCCGAGAACAAAGATCTGGTCTGTCATTAACTTTTTGCCCAACCAACAGGGAATTTGTGATTTCTGACCACTTTAAATTGCAAGTGAAAGTTATGAACAAATCAGGCTTGCCAAAACGACGCACAATACTCATTGAACCTTGATAAAGTTGAGCCATATACCGAGGGCTACCAATAAAAGAAGATGGAAGAATAACTCTCTTCCCAAGATTTGTAAGATTACAATCGTTATAGATAATAGCATCCTGAATTCCACTATAAAGATCTACACGGAGACGATTTTGATTGCTGGTGATGAAGTGCAGCCGATTGTGCTCAACTTTGGCATACATATCAACAATATATTGTTGAAAGAGACAGCCAAAAATATGGAGTAGGTGCTGTGTGTTGCGTCGATACATCAAACGGTTTGAGTACCATTGCATTACTGTAACATGCTCTCCTGACAATGAGCTGGCATCAATGGTCCAATCATCTTCACTATGTGGAAAGAGTAGCACATAGTGTAAAGCATCATAAGATCAATGGTACTCATTGATGTTCTGTTGGAAGTTGGCTCTGGTGTGCAGCACAATGTCTCTTGAAGTACTCTCTTCATTATTCATAATAAAAACTGCTATTTCACTTGCAGTTGGAGCATTGTACCGTCTTTGATCTCGAGGCCCTTCAGCTACTAAACGCAAAGTGAGATCTATAGATTGTCCCTTTTCCCAAGAAATTTGATCCATTGTTCTGAAGAGATGTACGAATGGATTTGTTTCCATAAGAATGGACTGAATCTTCTCCAAAACACTTCTCTCCAATTGTGGGGAATGGTACTGTCTTTGATCTATCTGAGCAGCACTATCATAAATATAGATCTGAGCGAATTTTGGGTGAGCGATATCAGATTCTGTCACTGGCAAAATAGATCCAATTCTATAACAAATTGTTCCGTGAATCCGGAAGTTGTATGCCCCATTGATATTGTTGCCAATAGAGGTATCAATTTTAGCTCCCAAAGAAGTAAAGCTCATTGTACTATTATAGCTTCAAATGTTTTCAAGAAACTTCTTTCCATCACGTGTTCTATAGTTCAAAAGCTCAGCAATTCCTGTAAATGTTGGCTCAATTTGGGGGAGAACATGCTTTCCTTTGATACAACACATAGAGAATGTGGGGCTTCTTAAAGAAGAACGACTGTTTTTTTCATGTGCCCACATCATTGCCCCACAAAATTGATACTCGATATCCATATCTCCTCTGTTATCAACTGCTGGTTCTGAAATAGCTGGAAGTCGGACAATATTATTCAAGCCTCTGCCTCGATTTCTAGATTCTCTTGCTCTGCTACTGTTATTGTTTGGACAAAATCTGCTTGTAATTTGGCAATGATCAGTTCCGTTACAGTGAGGACAATGGGGTAAAATTGATCCTCTATTCACAGTTGAAATCTCCTCAACTTCTTCTTCTCTTCCAGTCACTTTTTCGTCAGATGAAGTGACCTCGACTTCTTCTTCTCTTCCAGTCACTTCTTCATCGGATGAAGTCTCCTCAATCTCTTCTTCCAAGACCGCTTCAAGAACTTCAGTAATAGTCTCATTTGCAAGTGGAAATTCAGTTAACTCAGAAACTGAAATAGAAGTCGATATTTCTATGTCCAAATTTTGGTCTTGGACAGGCTCACTTCTTATTCTCAAGGCAGCAGCTATTTTTTTATAAACATATTTACTATTAAAATATATATATAATACTTGTTATAATATGCATAAGTGTATAAATAAATAGTTATTTTGGCTACTTTCTGCAGGATATTCATCTACATTAGTTCTCTTTTGAGAAATGTGGAGAGAAATGTTCTTTGGGTTCATGAGACATTGCTTATAAGTACTTCTGCTATGTGCAAGCATATGGCAAGCAGTACAACGACATTGAGTAGATGACATTTTATTTTTTGGGTTTTTTTTTTCAAAGTTAGAGTTTGGTTTGATAGTTGTATAAGTTTTTTGGCAATAGTTTGTAAAATAAATTCAAGGGGTAAATATCTCAGTATATCATGTGACATAGTAATGTCAGGAGTAGATTGGAATTGGCACTCAGTTCCAATCCTACCCAATCAGAAACAACTACTCCAACCACAGTAGTTGGGTGAGCAAGGCCAAGAAGAGGAAGACAACCATTGCTCAGCAAGATATTGCAGCAAAAGGACTTAGCTAGAATCTAGGATACTGCGGCATCTTATAAATTAATATAAATATCACAAATATTATCACAAATAAACATTATCTTTATCTTTATATTTCATTCTATCTTATTATCTTATTGTGTGACTTTTCACACATTACAGTAAAAGTGCTAGATTTTAGATGTGAATAGATGTTTTACAGACAAATTCGTATATCATGTGATGCTGCTAATTTTGATTGATTTTAGATATATAGATGATAAAGAAAAGGGACTGTCTTTTATATTTAGAGTGAATTCAATTGAACTGCTGGGAGGACAAACTTTAGCTAAATCTTTAAATTTAATGTAAAAGTGGAGATAAAGTGAACTGCTGAAGATGCTCTAAATTTTATCTAGTTGCTATATTTGACAGGGATTTAAAAGTTTTAGCTGAAAGCACTCTCAAAATTTATTTAAAAGTTAAAAAAATTAAATTGCTGGGTAGAGTGGCTTTATTTTTATGTAAAAGTAACAATTTTTTATCCCAGATAAAATAAAAGTTAGCCAACTACTGAAGATGCTCTTAAAGCATCTTCAGCAGTCCATTTTATCTCAACTTTTATATTAAATTTAAAGATTTAGCTAAATTTTGTCCTCTCAGCAGTTTTATTAAATTCATTTTAAATATAAAAGACAGTCTCTTTTCTTTATTTTCCTATTAAATTTAATAGGAAGATAAAATTTATTGATGAAAATGCTCTCAAAATTTATTTAAAGAAAAAGATAAATCGAACTGCTGGGAAAATTGATTTTTCTTTAGCTAAAGTAGCAGTGTTTAACTTTAGATAAATCAAAAGTTCTCTCACTGCTGAAAATGCTCTTAGACGCGTACTAAGAATTTTTATTCCTGATATTTTCAACTTGGAAAAATAAAAAAATAAAATTTTTCAATTGTAATTTTATCAGAGTTTTGTTTTTTGAGTTTTTTTAATAAAATTTGAGTATTTATAACTTCCTAATAAGGGTATGGATTCCCAAAAATACAAAACAACCCGTTGTAATACAAAAAGAATATTAGCTAATGTTATTAGCTAAAATAAGGCTTAAACAATGATAATATATTGCTATAGAAAAAAAGTTGCTGTAAATTCTAAAAAATGTCAACTTTTGATAAAAAACCAGCAACTTTGTTTAAACTTCTACCACCATACCAAATATAGCACACTTTGAGCTCTTTTTTGTTTTTTGAGATTGAATTCAAATAGATTTTTTGATTTTTAATCCAGAATTCCATTTTAGATGAAGATTGTATGTTGGACTGCATATCAATTCAAAAAGTTCAATAAAACAACAAATACAATCTATAGATTACTTACACTTTAAATATAGATATATATAAGTTTTTTATAATAGACTATGTCTTTATTCAAAATCATCAAGAGATGTATTGGTATTGATATCAAGTTATATTTAAAAATTAGAATGGTTATATTTGTATTTTGAAAGTAAAATAAATGAAAGGAAAGGGCAAGAAAAAAAAACTACTGGTAATGATATAGAGAAGTTCACATCACATGTCAAATAGTCATATTGTTAATATTATGGACTAGACCAGCCATCTCTCTGATGGACTTAACCTCAACCACCTTCATCTCACCCATTGTTTGGCTTTCCCAAACAGGGAAGAGCAACTCGTTGTATATTCATACGCCTTGCAAGCAATCAACTACGGCAAAGAGTCTAGTCTCTCCCAAGACAGAATGAGAGAAGAACTTTATAACATATCCGTACCTTTGAAAAATATAATTGAAATATGATTACAATTACAATAATGTAAGATATAACTTGTGTTACTTACTCCTCCAGGTGTTTGAGCACAACAAGGTCGTTGGCTCAAACATGTCTGCTGTCAAAAGAAGTCTGGACTCTGTACACCACATTGTCCTTCCACATCTTGGTGGTGCAGACCACCTCAATGGTTTTGTGCTCCATTACTGCGCTGTCCTGGTCCCAGAGACAGGCCAAAAATCTTACCAAATTATGGTAGTTCATATCACATTCGATTGCTATGACAGCAAGGGTCTTTCTGATTGGGTTTGACCAAAACTGAAGACCAGCAACATCATTACTTGCAACCTCAAAGTTGCTGGTCCTCTTGTCACTCGGTCTTCTTCGAGCTGCCCAACCACCAAAACAATGCTATATCCCAACTTTACAAAGGAGGATATTTTCCAAGTTCTTCCTGGTATCCTTCTTGGACCTAATTGTAGCTTGGTATGCACTAATTGTGCACTTGATTGGGTAGTAGCTATATGCCTGTAATGGACCCATCTCCCTCACCATGTAACCAAGATGAACCAGCATATGCTGGTTCATTACGAATATAGTAGGTTTTAACCTTCTTTCTTGGATTTCAAGACGAAGGAAGGAATGCCAGTGATTAATGACTCTATAAAAATGATGAAAATATTGTTTAGAATGTATTTGATCAACTTACCTTTCTATGGTATGGATTTCTTTTTCTGTCACTTCCCATTGCTGAGCAATAGAGCATGCTAAGACTAGATCTAAAACGGCATGTCTGATTCTGGAAAGAACAAACTTATGGACCACAACTGTTGGCATAACAAACAGAAGGAAGTCAACACTAGAAAACATATGGGAATTACCATGTACAAAGTTAAATTATAACAATAGAAAATCTGGGGTATTTTTTCATCTCAGCTTTTTTTGTGTGTTTAAGATGAAAACACTGTTTTCCGGTTTTCTATTGGCTTGGATACAACAGGTGAAAATATTATTTATTATTATTATTATAAAGACATAACAGTTCATTATAAAGACATAGTAAATTTAGTAAACGTTGTATTTGTTTCCTTTTTCTCTTAACACTTCAAAGTAAAAATAAATAAACATTATGTCCACAATTTCTGAACTCTGCAACAAAAAGTGCCATTGTGCTGGATGTAGTCAGAGCAATCTCGGCTATAGTTTTGTTGCCAGAAAAACTGCTTAACGTCATAACAAAAGGGCAGGACTAAATGCCATAAGATGTGAAAGGGGTACAATATTTGAATTTATTTAATTGTATTGTAATCCATGAAATAACGTGTTGTAATAGACATGTCTACCCAAAGAAATATGATGGAGGTCGATGATGAATGTAAGGTTTATTTAATTCAGATACTGTTAGATATTAACCAAGTGTTATATTCTAAATGTAGCTATCTTAACCCATCAACCCGGAGCCCTGGAAGAATTGTATACTCAGACAAACTCACCTGTTTGGGAAGGAGCTTCAATGTCTGACACTGAAGATGTTTCCTTTACTAATGACGCGATCGGCAATGGCGACAATGATGATAGTGGAAGCAACAGCAATGAAATCAGTGAAGATGAAAGCGAAGGCAATGTTATTGAGCTCAACAACAATGAATTGAATAGTGAAGGTCAGTTAGTGTTAAAAAATTTAAAAAAAAAATAGCATTATTTTTTTTTATAATAGACCCTTTTGCCACCCCCAATATGCCCCATAACCCAGTGCACAGGTTCATTGCTACTTTTGTGGTGATGTTTGCTTCCCACTATGTGGTTAACAAGGGCGCCATTGTCTTGATCGAGTTCATCAACAAGCTCTTGACAATTTACGAGCAGGATTTCCAACTGCCCTTGAGCCTTCCTGGTCTTCAGCACATGACAGGTTTCTCAGCCATGACCAAAGGCATAAAGAAATTTGTTGTGTGTCAGGATTGTCACAAGGTGTACAAAGAAAGTACATCTGTCCCGTCTCATTGTGATTTCATAAAGCTTGGTGCATGCTTGTCTTGCAACTGTCAATTAACAAAAACATCAGCATCGGGTGCTTTGGTAGCCAAGTGTTCATACTTGTACCAGTCCATCGTTAATACTTTACGAATGTTTTTTCTTTGTCCAGTATTCAAGAATAAAATTAGACATTGGAATCACGAGCTGAAGATGGTGGATACGATGTGTGACATATATGATGGTGCCATGTGAAAGGAGCTCAAAGACAAAGATGGCGTGCAATTCACAAAGGATTCGCGTTCATTAATGTTGACTATCAACATTGACTGGTTTCAACCTTTCGATAATGTCACACACTCGACTGGTGCCATATACCTGGTAGTAAACAATCTGCCTCACAATGAAAGATACAAGCCAGAGAACACACTTCTTGTAGGATTAATGCCTGGCCCGAAGGAACCCAAATCCAAAGAGATAAACCATTATCTCTGGCCTATGGTAGATGATCTGATAAGATTGCATGAGGGACTGGCAATCCCAACTTTCGAGTGTCCTAGTGGTGTCCGCGTCCATGCCACATTGATGATGGTGGCCTGTGACATCCCGGCAGCAAGAAAGACAAGTGGGTTCACCTCGCACAACAGTACATGCGCATATTACAAGTGCAACAGACATTTCCCTCACTTGGAAAACAGTGTCAATGTTGACTTTCGTGGGTTTGACTTCTCTCGGTGGGTGCTTCGTGACAGTGTAGAGAACAGGTTGCATGCTGAGGAGTGGGAAAGTGCTAGTACCCCCTCAGAAAGGCATCGGCTGGAGATCAAAAATGGTGTTCAATGGTCGCAGTTGCATCGTCTTGGATACCTTAATCTAGTACGTGGAACGATCATTGATCCCATGCATAATTTATTTCTGGGAACGCCTAAAAGATTGATGGATCATTGGATCAAAGACGAAGACATTCAAGATGGCAATTTTGCGGCAATGCAGAAGACTGCAGAAACGATGACTGTGCCTGGTGGATACACTTCTTTGAACTCGAAAATAGGAAAGCAGTTTTTGTATATGAAGGCAGACGAGTGGAAGTCATGGGTGCTTGTATACTCGCCAGTTCTGTTGAAAGATGTTCTTGCAAAAGACAGATTCGAAAACTGGATTAACTTTGTTGATGCATGCTGCCTGTTGATCAAGCCAATGATCACGTTTGATGAAGTCAACACTGCCCATCAGTTTCTTCAAACTTTTTGCACCAGATGTGATGAGCTGTACAATGCCGAAATTCTCACCTGTAATATGCACCTACATCTCCATCTTTGAGATACAATTCGTGATTTTGGACCAGTGTACAGTTATTGGCTATTTGGGTTTGAGCAATTTAATGAGTTGTTAAAAAATTTGAAAACAAACAGGAAGATCGGGTTTGAAGAAACATTTATGAAATTTATTGAAGATGTGCACAAAGACGATCTTATCAACAGTTTCCTTCAGAGTACCCGCCAGACATCTGCATTTCCTGTCCTTACCAAACTCACTTCTTCCTTTACACCCACCACCATTCCATCCATCCGTCAACATACCTTCCGCATACAGTCATTTGTTGAGGCTTCTGAAGATCCAAATGTACTTGTAAAAGGCAACGAACCTCTCCCTCCTTCCGCATTCCCTCTATCATTAAAATCCGCTACCACAATGAGTGACATTCACTATGTTCATCTCTTACAATACTACAAAGTTGCGTACAGCAATGAACAATTAGTTCACTTTCAACAAGCATTGGAATCACCATACTTTGTTGACAATACAATCACCCTGTTGAAATACATCAACACCCTTGGTCAGGTCTACAAGGGTAAAGGTGAATGTGGAAGTCGTGGCTCTCTTGTACAAGCAAAGTTCATTGGAAGTACTGGTGAGCATATCATCGCATACACGGGTCAAATACAGTACATTTTCACCCATTCTTTCACTCCTCCACCCACCTCTTCATCCCTTACTCCCTTGCTCCGCACCCATTGCTGCCCAACACAACTTCTTCACAATTGTCAACATACTTTTGCATTTATCAAATGGTACACACCCAAAAATGATAAATTGCGAGAGTACGAACACGTTGAAACCTGCTTTCCAACATTTTCTCCTGGCGATTTGCAATGTGTATTGCCAGTGCATAGAATTATGTTAGAAGTAGCAACTGCTGAGCACACAACACGCAGAAAAGTAAAAAAGATGCTGGTCATTCCTTTGCCAAAAAAATAATACATTTAAAAAATATTAAAATATAACTCCCTTTTTTAAAGGCACACAGAAAAGAATAATCATAGTGTTTGTATTTGTTGGTACGTTTATCATTGTCAGATGGAGGATGTGGAGAATATAGAGGATAAGAAAACAAAATTTATTGAAACTCCTCTAAAAGCCCAGTGATGGAGATGGGACGTCAATCTAGACGGGACTGCTAAAACAGCATCTCTACCGAAGGACCTCTTCAACATCTGACGCGAATTGAAGTCCATGCGATTACGCATAAAATCATCAACAACCGCAAGAAAGTGATTGTACTAAATACAAATAAGTGATTAATCAAAGTTCTGTTTCATTTAAATCCATAAAAAAACAAAAAAAAAGCTATATACAATAATGTAAACAAAAGAAATTACCTCATCGCTTCTCCAACTTGGACGCACTATACGAATTGCACGGTTGCTTGAGACTCCAGGCATATTGTCTTCAGATTCGCCCTCAGACATTGCTTCTTTCTGTAAGAGTCCATCGCAGCTCTTACCCACCTTCATATCAATTTCAGCCTTGAATGTATGGTAGGTCAGCTCGCGACAGTCAAAATGCTAGTTTATAAATATATTAATATGAATACATTTAATTTGCAATCAAAATATACTTCTAACATACATCGGTCTCTCAACCTGCTTTTCTTGACTGAGAATTTGTCTTTTTGTGCACTTCATAGGATTCCTTGACTCGGAATCTCGTTCCACAAAAGTTTGTGTAGATACAATCGCTAATATCGGCCTGTCGAACACTAGTCCCAACAATCTTTGGAGCCAGATATGCATGAAGGTCATGCATCAGCTGTCTGTTGGGTGGAAGGCTGTAATCAACATTAACATCCCAACTGCACTTGCTGTCATTAGCTGCAACTAGTTCTGGCTTATTTGATTTGAAGTTGTGTTTCTTCAACTCTCCTCGGATAAGAGCCTATACTTAGTGTGAGATATTATATTGATGAATTACTGTACATCTCAACACTTACTAAAACTCTAGTGCGATCCTGTTTACTAAGTTCACCAGCGTTTGCATGAGTAAGAACTACTTGACCAACAGAAGGAGTGACAGAAGGAGCAACAGAAGGAGCAGCAGAAGAGCTACCAAAAAAAGCCTCAGAAGGTGTTGTATACCAATCCAGAGTAGAACTAATGGAAGAAGCTGCGAAAGGGACAGAAGCAGAAGCAGGTATAATAGTAGGAGCAATAACTGCAAGAAGTTCTTCAGAGGCATTGGCAACGCTATCAAGTATTTCCAATGAATCTTTGTTCCCCTTGATGACAATGCCAATGTTTGAATTCATGGTCTTGAGGCTTTCCTCCATAGCTGTGAGCCTTCTTAAAAGCTCAATATATTCCGGGGATGGAGCCAGGGCAATTGACTGATGATTGTTAACCATGGTCTGAAAGCTATCTAATAAAATGTTATACATGAGTTGATTGTTAATTATATTTGTTTTATATATCTATTCATTGTATATATAGAGTGTTTTTAATATACAAAAGAAGTTAGGTGTTAAGCAAAAGAATAAAGTGTAGTTAATAGAAAGATGGTAAAAGTAGAAGCAAGAACTCATTTATTATATTACACTTGTTGCTGTAAATACTCAGGATTTCTTTAATGCACATATCTCTATTAATACTTCCTGGAATTAACAGGGTGCAAATCGGCTTTGAACATGCTTTTTTCAACTTAATCCAATATATGATTTCTGTCTTTCGGCCTTTTGGCCCTTTGGTCTTTTGTTCTTTTTGTTTTTTTTTCATTTACAAGTTTTCTCTCTTCTCTCTCTTTCCAACATTTATTATATTCACAGACTTTCTTGGTAAGATATCTTCTTCTTTAATATTATATATATATATAACTAAAATGATAATAATTGTTTTCTATTACTACAGACACTCGCATTTTGTTACCTTCTGATGCATCTCCTTCACAATGTCCATCCAGATTAGCTAAGGTTAGTAAATATACTTTATGATGTCATCCTATAAAATTATTCTGACCTTTTCCTTTCTTTTGTATAGGCCATATCGCCGAAATTACTCTCTACTATTAAACATGGTTATGAATATGGTAATATTTTATTTTATTTCAATCTATCTCTTTTTAATAAGCACACGGCTTAACATAATTTCTATTATAGATAAACCTCCCTCTCATGAGCACATCGCGAATCAAGAACTTTCATTTCATACGAGTGTCATTGACATGGTAAATTTTATTTTTATTTTTGTACATATAACAATATTATTTATTTTGTATATTAATGTATATCATTTACTGGAGACAATATCAGCGTATTCTATGTACTCTCTTGGTCTGCAAATAAATCCTTTTGCTTCAGGTAGGTAAATGAAATATTTTACCACACAGTTCACAAAAAATAAAAAAAAATCAGCATTTTTATAGCCAAATAAAGTATATTGAGTACTATGGTTTGCATTCATGATGCCTTTTCTTTTTGTCTCTGATAAGCTATTATATTGCAAGCATAATTACATATATATATTCTTAATATTCACAATTTCTTGTTCAAACAGCTAACACTTTTCTAATTTCATAAAACAACCATTTATAAGCAAGCAACACACAACTAGGCTTTTCTCTGGGAGATATTGTTTGGAGAATACTTGTTTTATCAGAACATTGGCCATTTTAAATTATATGAAGGCTAGAACACTAGCCAGAATGTTCCTAAATATTAAATATAACCACTGTACTATAAACCTAAGAATATTCTTTTCTTTCTAATAAAAACAAAGTAAACGAATAATTATTATAAATAAATTAAAGATCGGAGAAGTGTATGGAAGCAAACAGTACAAGAAGAAGTCTCTAAGATTGGATAAAATAAATTCAAAGACAACAAAACCCTGTAAAAACTGGCGTATCCATATAATCGATCTTTCATTTATTGTTCTTTTAATTGGAAAGCAGTAGGATATATTACAACAAAACGTAATTCTGAGTTGCCGTTTTAGTACATGTGGTAAAAACCCATATACAGAAAATGCGAACACATCCTACTATCCTGCTGTTCTGATCTTTTCCTATGTTCAAAAGTTGGTCTTACCACCTATGAGTAAGCCAGTTTCATACACTTGTAAAAACTATCTGTCCCATCATAAACCCTGGTCTTTTCACATAATTAATTACAGTTTTACACATAAGAAAACCGCATCTCTTTTCCAGTGCAAGCCAGTTGACCACCTTCTGTCTGCCAGTTGTTTTCTTCAGCGATCTTCAGCTGCCAGTGAAGTTTGCTGGGATGTCTGGTCTGGACTTGCCAATACAGCTGTTAATCTGATCAAGTCCAATATGTAGAGCAAACGTATCTATGTTATTCTGTTCATTCTGAAGCTGTTGTTGTTGCTGCTGATCAAGAACTGCCTGTTGGACTGCATTGTCCTCAGCCTCGTTACTCATATTAAATTTGCTATTCAATGCATTGTATAGCTGATAACCAATCCCATAGCCAATGAGATGCATCTCATCAAGCCCAAAGAAAGCAGGACTTATCAATATGTTGAGATCCCTAAAAACATTGGAACCATTGACAGTGTATCTCTAAAAAAAGTATTAATATCTCAATTATTCATTAATTATGTACTTATGTTTTCTTCAAACTGACGGAGGCTCTCCACAGTTATTATAGAAACAGATACCTTCTTGCCAACAAAACACATGACGTAAAATCAAGGAATACCCTTAGAAATGCAGGCTTGGCACCGATAGAAAGAATTATGGTGGGCCAGATTCATCAAGTCTGACACGGCTGAATTATTGTCAGTTGCCATGACAAGATGAACCTTGACACTCACTTGCCCAGAAAACTTCTGAATTCTCAGACCAGAAGTCTGCAACATATGCAAATCTTCTACAATTGTTTCAAGAAAAGATGCTATGTGTTTTGGGTGTTTAGACCCAAGAATGATTGCCAGTTGAATCATACTTTCTCTCTCATATCTAAGTATATTTGATTAGAAAATTTATGCATAGCATCTAATATTGTACCTTAGTTTTGGATCAATACTGAGATTGATAACATGCACAACAGTTGCTGAAATTTCTGAATTATCAAAAGAATTGAATTGATCAACAAACATCGATACCAAAATATCATTCTGATCAACAACATCACTCTGAACCAAACGTCAGACAACATTATCATTGAGGATATCAGATCTTGTACAACCAACTCTATCGGAAAGACGGTTTCTGTCATATGTCATCTTGGCTTGTTCCTGGGCATTACCAAGCTTAAATCGTAATTGTTCAGAAAGAGGCACAACCTGGAAGGTCTGTGCAAGAATTAAAGTGCCTCTCTCATCTTGGAACCATTGGCTATTACAGTGAGGGCACTGCTCTTTATCATCTTCGTACTGACCAGCTTCTACAGTGTCAAAGCGGATACAGCCTTCCTGGTACATGTCGTATGTCACAGAACAGATAGTATACTCCATCTTAAGAAGAGTGTTCATCTTGTAGTGTGACATGAGTGCATTGATGGCAGCTATAATGTTGATAAGTTTACATGTTGTGAATAATTAATGACAGATATATATTTATGTAAATCACGTTCCATCATATACTTATTAACAATCTTGACACACTTGTCAAAAACATTGTGAGACACATTATCCTCAACAAACATAGAGAATAATTCTATACTAGCTGCCTCTGCATAACTACTGGGCTTGTAAGAAGGAACTCGAGAAGTCTAGCTCCAGTCACTTTCATTACTTTTAGGTTAGTTTGATGACTCTCTATGTTCAATGACATTGTGGACACAGAAGTAACCAGGGCCAACATCTTTTGTATATATATTTATGTGATTAGCATTTTTTAGAAGCTCATTATACTAGTTTAAGAGATTGTTTTTTCTCTTACCAGGTGGAGACTCGATACCTGTAGGCATATCTTGGTCAAAATCAATGTCTACATCCATTGATTTTGCACGAGAGGAGATGTTTTCTTCCAACACAAAATCTCTTAAGTCGTATTGACCATCACTGGACAAGTCCTTGACATTGGCAAGAGTTGCGAAGAGTCTAGCAGTATTACTATTTCTTGCCAGGTTGGCTTCATGCTTAGAATTGAAAAATTGATATTAAATTTATCATTGCTCTCTCCGGATGTTTGGGTAATCAGATTGCTGTTATTCATCTTAATTCAAGGTTTTTTTAAGACAATAGTCTGGACTATAAGTGATAATAAAAAGGTTTAAGATGAAGGTTACAAAAAAAATAACATCATATTAATGTGAATTTATATTTCAATTTTATATTATTTATTTAATACTGAACATAGTAAATTCATGCAATATATTTCATGATTATGACTGTGAATAATAAGAAGAATTTTTTCTTGTCAGAATCAAATCTTGTTCTTCCTTACATATTTTTTTATTTTCACAAAGATGCAATACCAAAACTTCAACTCAAAATTTTGCATAGAAGCTATTGAGGCTACTGGGACTGAACTCCGGGCTCAAATCAACAGCTCACAAGCACATCAGGGTGGCATCACCCAAGAGCCTAACACTCTTCCATCAGCTCTTGGAAATGCAATGGTTCAAGGGGATATCAGCGAAGTCGCCTGAGATATTGAGAAACCCAGAATAGACTCTCACAGAAGGACATGCTTGTTTACAGCATTGACTACAAAGTCTGCTTTGCAGATCCATTGCACTGAAGGTCGCCTGCAAGCTTCTGTTCAAATGTATCACGCAGTAGCCGGAATTGCTTGCAGTATAATCAAAAAAAGTCTTTGCCATATGCATTGGCAATGATGACAAGATCCCAGTCTGAGGTGATCTAACAGCTGTCCAGAAAAGAAGTCTAGTGAGAAATCTTGAATGAAATGCTGCTGACAAGAATATTCTGCTTGCTAGATTTCAAGAATCATGGGGAGCTTACTCCATGCTCTCACAGAAATGGAAATCTGCTAGACTCTTATCATTGAAGCATTAAAATGTATTTTATACTTTGAGAAATAAAAGTAATTTAAAAATTCATATACTCATAATTAATGACATGTTTAAAGAATTAATGGATGTTTTTTTTAGATAAAAATAGTAAAAATGAAAACTTATATTTATGATTTTATTATAGAGATATTATAATTAGAACTTTTATTATTTTAAATACATAAGTTATTGCTTTTTAATGTATTTCTTTATTCACTTCTTTATATTTATTTCATTTATTGATTTGCAAAGCCATTAAACACTATGGGAAAAAATGGTGGTTTTTTGCTTTTGTGACTATGTTTTCGGTCTATAATAATTAAAAAATCACTAAAAATCCAATTTGAAACTAGAAAATCTCTGTTTTTTGAAAAGGTTGACAAAAAGCAAATTGACTACCTAAAATTAAATCTCCTGATAGACAAAAGTAAGCTTTAACTACAGACTTTACATTTTTAGTAAATGTAGATTGCATTTGATGACTATTAAAAGTCAGAAGAAAAAGAGAAGAAAATATTTAAACTTTCTGCTAAGAAAATAAAATATGTTAAGACAATTTGAAAAAAAAATGTATTACAAAAAAAGACAAATTATAGGTCTGCAAGAGAACCAAGTGACAATTTTGGGCCGCGGTTAAGCTCTGGCCACACTATGTATGTTGTTGTTGTTGTTTTTGTTGTTGTTGTTGTTGTTGTTGTTGTATTTATAGTCGCGTCTTACTTCACCAAACCAACCAATTCTTTGACATCTGCCAGGTGAACTACCTTTGGCTTCATTTGCCCATTGTTAACAACTGGTATATCATTTACCAAACGGACTGCTGCAATCTCTACAAGAGCAAGCGGTCACCTCTTGTTGAGCTTGTGCTCAAAGAAGATAACAACTTTTCTGAAGAAATCCTTGTAAACTGGGGAGTATGCAGAATTTATGTTGCGGTTTTCATCAACCTGAATTTGTAATCTGATGTTATGTGCCTCCCTTACACAATTTTGGTTGAGTGCAGAGTCAATCACACAACCATTGATAAATGCCTTGTGGCTAGTTTGTATAGCTGCTTCAATCATACTACACTCTTCCCCCTTTGATTTGTAGAAGTCTTCAAGAAGTTTCGAAAGACAAGAAATGCCTTCAAAACTATCTTGGATCGTTCTATTCCTCAAAGGCCCTCAGAACTCAATATCAGACCCAGCACCAACATGCTCACCCTCATCTGTCAACGGCCAACCAGCAGTGGAATCTTCATATTGTAAGTGTCGTGCTGTTCTTGCTTCTGTAATCATGACAGTGGCTCCGGCCTCTGCTTGTCGCATTTGTGCTAAGCCAAGCATGATATTGTCAGCATTAACATTTATAGCAGAATTACTCTTGATAGCCCTTGAGTATTCACCAATTGCCTGTTCCACAGATCTGGTGCTATATGCACGAGGTGGGCCATATGCGTCAATCATGAGAGGATAGTGCTGAAGAAGATGCTGGTTTATAGTGAAAATATTGATTTTGATTTTTCCACTTGTAAGCAGCGATTCCAGGTACATGTTCTATATTTCAAGTTTACTGAAGAAAAATAGTTAGAATAAATAATAGAATAACACATAGCTTTTACTAAAATATACCTTTTGATAGAGGTTTGTTCCTCTGCTGATAACTCCCAGCTCATGAGTAGGTTACATGCTTGAACCAAGCCAAGTAACGCGTTCCAGGCAGTTGCATCTCCAATACGCTCTGCCACCAGCATAGGGATGACGAACAGAAGAAAGTCTGCCCAATTGACGGCCTTGAACGACCCGGGGTTCTTGTATACATCCCTCCAATTGCCATGGAAGGATGTAGGGATGGTATTTCTTGTTTTGTACATTGCTGTACCAATCTCCGTCTAAACACCAGAAGAAAGAGCAAAACAATGATCTGTTCCATAGGTACTAGAAACCAAACCCCAGACCTGCTTGCTTATTCCATGGCAAAGTCCATGCATCTCATCAAGGGCAAAAAACAATGGTCCAGAGAATACCTTCAATGTTGCCAGGGGGGATTGTCTGTTTAACCCTTTGCAGCTGGGTGCACTGGCCTGGGAAAAATTCTGGAAACTTTCCAGCGTATGGATATTGGTGCTGGGCAAAGTTCTGAAGTATTGTCCATGCTTGGGACATTGGCTGACAACATGACAGATATGGCAACCGTCTTTGCTCATATGTCCAGAATGACATGCCAACTTTGCTAAGGCGGGAATGTCACCAGTGACCATTAAGACATGTACCTTGGCACGAATGGTCTCGTTTGGTGTCTTGACAACCATCCTTTCGCTCTCCAACACCAGGAGCTCTTTCATCGTTGGTTCCATGAACGACCAGAAATTGGCAGGTGCGTCTGGACCTGAGATCATTGCGATCTGGAGCATTCTGCTTCTCTCATACCGGATCATGGGATTCAGGTTAAGAATGGTGACATGGAGGATCGTTACAGAACCAGGAACATTGTGTGGCGTGAATCCATCAACAGACAACGAAATTGCAATGTCATCTTTTCCGGAAAACAGATGTTTCGCTTGATGGTAAGCCTGGCCATCAAACACATCGGTTTTACTTCCATCCAAGCTTGACTCATGATTATGGCAGTAATACATATCTGCTCTTGTATTCTTGTTGGCTAACGCAAGAGCCAGTTGTCTCGCCAATGGAAGCTGTATCATCGTGGCAGCAGCAACCAGATCACCACCCTCAGTTTCTCCACGTCTTGTTTTGTACTGGCTTTGTCCACAGTTGGAGCACTCAGTCTGGGATGGATTGGTAAAGAGCATACATCCCCTCTGACAGATATCATGGACTGTCTCTTCAACACCAGAGAAACGCTTCAAAAGCTTTTTGCCAAGATGAGGAGTACATGCTCTGTATGTAATACAAGTTGACGTTTCCAAAATGCTGTTGAAATGCTTGACTATCATTTCATGGGCATTGCGGGAGATACCAAAATCCTTAATGATCTTGAGAATCTCCAGGTTCTTTGCATTGTCTTTGTCAGGGGTAGGTGCAGGCTGACTGAAGTCAAAAACCAAAGGAGATGTTTTGTTTTCAATGATGTCCATGTTGTTGCCAAGTTCCGCATCATACTTTAACAGGTAAATAATAATTAGCATTATATAATAAGACATATATATATATATATATATCTTATCATAGACTCATCATTACCATCATTACTGAAGATATTCATAATTGGATCATTGTTATCTTCGCTGTTGAGTGTATCCATGATCTGATCTTTAATTGCATCAGCACATTCTCTGCTTGTTTATGAAGGTAACAATATAATTAATTACACTTTCTAATAGTATGTATGTGATTTGTAGTCTTACTGGATAGTGTTGTTCAAGACAGTGTTCAAAACAACACTGACTTGTCCAAGAACAGGCGTGGTCTGTGAAGTCTGGATATGATTATGTCTTCTATGACAGTTCTTAAAGCATTGAGCTCTACAACTCTTGGCTTTTTTTAAATTGGTGTAGCACTCTTTGCATTGCTTGCATTGGTAACTATCAAGGATTGAATTTGAAGACATTTTTTAGGTTGGAAATAAACACTTAAGAATAAAAGTATGAATATTGATAATTCCTTTTAAATAATATGCCTTTCTACTCAATAGCATTGAGATTTGTATAGACTGAATGACTACAAGTAGGCAATAACATAGATGATACAAATATAAACTCAGAAACAGAAGCTAAAATATTGCATAATAGCTGTTATTAGAACTACACTAGCCCAATAATAATATTGACTGGACCAATAGGTTAAACTCATTTATATGAAACTAATAATAGACAATAGAAAATTGTTTTGGCCTTTATCTTTCTTTCACAACAATTCTTTTTCTCAGGTAAACCAAGCTCTCAACATGAATAACACAGATAACAATTCTATCTCTTTGCTACACGCCATGTACAATGAGATACTATCTTTGAAGGCAGGCCAAGAAAAGGCTAAACTTGAAATGAAGGCACAGATCAAAGAGTTGAAGCTCGAAATGAAGATGAGCATCAAAGATTTGAATTTGAAGATTACTGCTCTCCAGAGCCAACTGGAGAATAGAAACATTTCCAACCAACATACTTCGCTTTCTGTCTCTACCATTGTAAGACAAAAAATAAAACGAGTTGAATATATATTAATATGTCATTTAATAGTCTAGTACTAATATCATCTGCAAGCCAGTGAGCACATTCCACGAAATAGCTTTAAAGCATATCTTCAAGATGATAAGTGAAGACCTTGGCATTGAAGTAACAAGTAACGAAAAGGTCATGCTCAATATGTGTACAAAGCTTGTATGTGATGATATGGCTGCCCATTCTTCGGTGATTGCTCTTGGTCCTAATCCTAGCTGGGGGTCTATACCAGTAGCACTTAAGAAAGAAATGTGTGCCAGGCACGCAAATATAATGAAGGATTCTAGTATAGACTTCACTAGGTGTCTTGGAAACTGAGCATCAACTGCAAGAGTTGCACATCTCTGGAGGGACTGCCATAAAAGATTACAGTCTTGTAAGTAATCTGGTGTAGTGGAATTGAATAGAATATTTTACTATGAAAACCTAGAATTTTAAATAGTAAATAGCCAATAAATTGTATCTATAGATTTTGTTATGCTTTAACAGCCAATAAAATAAACAATATTATTTATTTTTCTGTCATAATAACTAATAAAATGAACAATATGATTTTTTTTCTGTCATAACAACCAATAAAAATGATTAATAAAAATGATCTTCTATTGTAATAACTAATAAAAATTTGTATTTATTAAAATAATCAAACATTTACATGTATATTATCTAATAAAAAACTGCTTTCATAAAAGTAACATTAAAAAAAAATTACTAGTGTCCAATAGAATTCCTTTCTAAGCTAAAATATTAAAGTAATAAATGACATTTAAGAGAGTACCCAATAAAAGTAATTGATTATATAATATACTTTATACAATAAAGAATGAAACGCTGTCCAATAGAAGAGCCAACAAAGGAGAATCAGAAAGCGGGGATCTTTAATATATATTTAAACTCCAGGGGGGCAAAGTGGGAAAACCTTTAAAATCTTAAAACTGAGAGCAGCCATCTAGAGAGTCAAACTTTATTAGATCTGGGCCGAACAAAAAAAAGCAGTATTAAAAAGCACTTTGTATTTTTTTCAAGATTATTAAAAAAAAAACAATTATTTTATATTTGATACCATGTTTTTTTCAAAAGATATAAGTGAAAGACAATTGATCCAATATGTTTTGAATAGTTTTATTATTATTTCTATATATATTTTTATTGTTTTCTATACTTCTTCTGGGGAGCAACACCAGATTCTTTCAAAGAAGACAAACAATCTTCCAAAATCTGGCTGGTGATGTCCATTCCAGAGGCAGTATCTCTTGCCATGGCATTTCTTTCACCAACAGCTTGAGTGATCTTATTGATCAAAATGTTATGTCTCTCAACAAACTCCAGAGCACGCAGTCTATTCTGTGCCAAAGCACTCTCCTCACTTCGGTCAACTATCTGAACTTCTCAATTCTGAGCAATAGAAAGCTTTTTGGTCAAAGAATATTGGAGTCCCATCATTCTGCAGACCAAAAATATATGCTTACACAAATGATTAGGGTCTGGACAAGAGCAGACTGACAGTACTTCCTCTTTGACCAAGAGCTCGTACCAAACAGAATTGTCAGTAAAGGAGCAACACTTGTAGATCTAAAATAAATAAATAAAAACCAACATTAATATTATTACATTTAACATATAAAAAGTTATATCTAATTACCAAATTGTCTTCTATGATCTTAACCATGCCAAGAGCATCTTCATGAGCAATATCATATGCCTTCTTTTTCTTCACCATCTCAGTGTGTGTCAAGACAAGCTGTTTGAACCCATACATGATTTTGAGACCCACTTGTCTATAGTCATGCTCAACTACTTGGGAGAGCATGTAAACCAACCAGTCAACCCAGAAGTATCTTGATCTGCCCAAGTAGTAAGCTTTCAAGATGTGATGGTAGGATTCAATCAGATTGTTCGTGTAGAATCTAGCATCCTAATAATAATAACAAATAGTTCATAAACAATACATTGATATTTATAGTAGTTTTACTACTCTCCAGGCCATTGACCAAAGGTCACACTTAGCATGCCAGTGTGTGGCAAAATATGCCACAAATTTGACATGGCCAGCAAATCTGGAAACAAATTCCTCGTATTGCTGATTAAATGCCTCCTTACTTCCGGTATGCATCAGCAAGTTGAGAGCCACCCAAACTGCATCCTGTTTATGCTTGCTTTTGTGGGTGGCTCCAGTAATTTTTACCTACAGTATTAGTTAAATATAAATAATTATTAGTAATATTTAAAAATAAGTATATTAACATAATTTACATCTTTTTTGATGTGCATCTCCCATGCTCTCTTGATGTGCCAGTGGCACAAAAGGACCTAGACAGATTGGCCAAAGACTTCCTCCAAGACACCGATCTCAACTGGGCTGCAGTTGATCATCATGTGCTTGACACGCAGGCTACAGTTGGATTTAATCCAATTGAGCCATTGCAACAAGGTTGTGATAAACTCTGCGTTTGTCACAAAGAAGCAAACAGGAACACCCTTGTTAGTAATGTTGCTTCTCACAACTATTGTATACAGATACGAGTGCTTGCTAGAATCTACCAAAGATTTACAGGTCTTGTGAGTTGAGTCGATGCACCACTCATCTACTGACTTAAGAATCTGTTGAACAGTTAATAATATTATATTTTAAATGATTATTAAATTAAATAATATATCTTTTTCTGCCAAGGAGAGATTCACGAAACAAGGTATGGCTCATTACCCTCATGGAAGACAATGTGAACCAGATAGTTCTTTTCTTTTTGCAAGAACTCAATCCATTGCTCAATGCTTGTCTTGTCAATAGCATTTCGTCTTGAAAGGTTGTTCAGATGTGCATTGATGACGTTTTGAACATTATAATAGTTAATGTGAAGAGACATTGGGAAGCTGGAAATATCAATACCTGCTTCGAGCTATAACACAATCAAGTTAGTAATTAAGATAAAAGAAAACAAATTTATTACCTCATCCAAGCGCTGAGGGTTGATTCGAAGCAAAGTTTTGATTGCCTTCCAATCCATGTTGTTGTCTACATGGGAGACAATCCACTGCTTGACCTCAGATGGGAATCTTGACCGCACCATCTCTTGAACCTTTTCAGGCTGGTGGGTTGCATGCTGCCACAGATAATCTACCTGGACACTCTCATCATGCAAGGTTTTTTTGGTAATCTTGGCTTTGCAGCCGTCCTTGATGGATTCAGTTCGAACCCTCTTTGCTTTTGGCTTTCCAGCCATTTCTTGAACCTTGGCCTTCTTGAGGAAGCCTTGATAGTCACAAACAAAGTATACAGTTGATACAACATCTCTAGAACTAGCTGTACCAGTAGCCTGAGAAAAGTGAGTGTTGGTTACATTCCAGTTGGAATGTCTCTTGGCCGAGTTTTCAAACCAAACAGTAAATTTCTCTTCATCAGCAAAAGTCTCAGTGACTTTGGAATTGACTATCTTGTAATCTGGGGCAATTCAGATCATATGATCATCATTAATGTTATTGATGGATAATTGGGTGTGGTTGGAGTTGCTCATTATGAGTGCAAAGGTTTTGAATACAGGGGAAAGCGTAAGTGAAGGGAAAGATATACCTGAAATAATAAAAACAATAATAATAACAAAAAATGCCGAACCAAAAAAAATCTGGTGAGTCCGGGAAATGTAACACTGCTTCCAATTTGGAGATTTTAAACTTATTGAAATTATATGGTCATGGAGTTATAATGTCTGCCATTTATTACAGTGTTTTTATCAATAAAAACCATTCAATTCTCTATATTCCTATCTGTTCCTATTTATTCACAGCGTCCTAGTTGGTAGTGCTCTATTATCAAAACTTATACAAGTTAAAATAATAGAAAGATACACCCAGTCGAGATGTCAGGTCTTGATCTGGTATTTCTTTTCTGGCACTTGTAACTAAGTCGCAGAATCAATACCACTGGGGATCGTTAAGTTTTTAAGAATGGTTTTTAGATAAGAATAAAGATGCCTTTTTATTAAATGTATTTCTTGACTATTTATACAAAATGATAATTGATTTCTGGCTAAAAGAATAGCTACGATAATATGTCTTAGATGCTTGTTGTCCAGTAATATCTTCTACAAGTATATTCACCATCTTAAACATCTAAAACATATGTGAAAGACTAATCAGCAAAGTCAAGATCTTTTATCCTACCAAGTCAATCATTACTGATTGCTTGTAAATCCCGATTTTGGTTACTGATGTCAACTCTGTGTTGTTCCCAATCTGGGTTGGTCTTCCTTTTACTATAACAAAGACAAAAGGTCAAACCCACTGGGGATCAAGAAGTATATGTAAAATCAAAGAGAGGATAAAAGATACCTTTTATTAATATGAATTGAATTGTCTTATATAGTTTTCTAAACTAATACTGCACATTATCTGCAGTAGTTATTATTTATATTTAATTAAAGAAATAGTCATTATACTGCGGTTAATGCTCAGGAAGATATTACTGCGCATAAAGAAGTACTGCGGTTAACTATCTTCAGATTTTACGGATTTATCAAAATAATGTCCGACATCTGACAGAGACTTGACATATTTTCAGACATTATTTTGATGAATCCGAGAAATCGGGATAATTGACCGCAGCAGTTCTGTATGTCAAAGATACCTCATAGATAACGAACCGCAGTAATGTCTTGTAAAGATTAACCACAGTAACATCTTCTGAGCATCAACCGCAGTAAAAGGACTTCTCTTGTAATTAAATAGAGTATAATAGTTTACTGCGGATAATGCGCAGTATTAGTTTAGAAAACTATATAAGACAATTCAATTCCTATCAATAAAAAGGACCTTTTATCCTCTCTTCGATTTTACATATACTCTCCGATCCCCAGTGGGTTTGACCTTTTGACTTTGCTATAGTAAAAGGAAGACCATCCCAGATCAGGAACGACAATATCACCAAAATTAAGCAGAACAACTCTGACAAAAGTTGGAAAATTGATGCGCGGACCGGGAATCGAACCCGGGCCCTTCGCGTGGCAGGCGAAGATTATACCACTTAACCATCCGCGCCATTGTTATTAACATAAACGCTTATAGTAATAGGCAACATAAAACAATTTCGGTTGTCCGGCAGTGTGGTGATGTTTCAGAATTCTTTGTAATTCTAGAAAAGTATATTTTATTATTATTATTATTTTTGATTTTCTGATGGCGGCCAAGGCTGAATAAAAAGCAATTTTTCTATTTGTAGAGCAAAACACCAATAAGTACAACGAAAAGGCATCATTTTGTCAACAATAAGTTCAGAGAACTACATATCATATCTTATTTTCTCACTATATTTAACTGAACAAATCAACTTGGAATTAATATTATTTTTATTATATATTTTTACAAGCATAATTATCTTCATAATTATGACTTAATAATTATTTTATTTTATTTATACTTAATAATAGTAAAGAACAAATCACATTTAATAGATTGTCAATTATATAACTTTTATTATATATTTTTTTAATAATTTTATTTATTTAATTATTCAACAAGTCAATTGCAAAACTATAAATATCGCAATAATTGTATTTAATAAGCATTGATTTTTTTTCATCTTATTTTCTGACAACAAGTTCTCTTAATATTTAATACTGTTGATATTTTACTTGTTTGATTACCTGAGTATATTGAGTCAAGTCTATTGAGATTGATCAATAGTACTGTTTTTCTCATATTTTTCTCTTATTGATTTTATTATCTTTAATTCTACATTCTCTTTTGAGTTTGTCTTTTTTTCTCTTATGGAAAAGAAATGTTATTTCACATTTAAAAACCCATTTAAATCTCAAAAACTGTGATAATATCACCTGGCAACATTTATCACAAACACAAGCACTACACGCATCATTTTTGACACGTGATGTGGTGATGTTGCTGGGCTCAGTCCAAAAACCATATTCTACCAAGTTCAGACATTCTTTTGAAAACCCCTTTTTTGATTTTTCTTCAAAAATTTTAATTTTAATTTTAATTTCTTTCTTCATTTTCACAAAATCGCCTTTTTCCAGAAACCTATTTTCTGAAAATTAAAATCTTTTCCCCTTTATTTTTCCCAAAATTGTTTTCTCTGTTTTCTTTTTATTTTATTCCTGTGCACTAAATGTGACGCTTCCTCTCAAATACTACTTTACTAAAAATTGTTAACTGAATAGCTTTTTTCTTTATTTATAGTATACTTCTTTTCAATATTTTCCTTTTCTTGTAGTTATATATTATAACTTCATTTATTTCTTCTTTTATGATGAAATATATATATAATTCTTTTTTATATATTTTTATTTACAATTATATTATTGAGTTTTATCTAGCCTATTTTTGCCATATATTTTATTTATAAAGTAATATAAATATCTCTCTAAAATCAATCAATAAACAACTGTCAAATTTTTCTGATACAAAGTTTTTTTCAAGACGCTGTCTATTATCTCTGATCTCTCTTGTGAAATTTCTTCCGTTTTATTTATTTTTCTGTCACGTCTTTGTGGAAGATTGACTATCCCCTTTTATTTTATTATTTTGTCTGGATTTCCCCTTTTCTTATTTATCTCAGTAAATTTATTATAGTAAATTTCCTTTCAGTAAGATTCTTTACTCTAGTAAATATTTTTGTTTCTATAGTTAACTCTTTAGAATTAGTATTATTTACTTTACTTCTTTTAGCTTAACTATTTCTCTAATCATTCAAATTATTTACACTTTTACCTTAGTATTAGTTTCCCTTTTCATTTCTTCAACTGGTCTATTTGGTAACAAATAGACTATTTTATTACCCCAATTTATCTGATATCGAATCTAATTTCTCAATTCCTCTTTTCAATTCCTCTTCTTACATACATTTATCTTTTCTTGTACATCTTCTACACACAACCACATACCACATGCGATATTTTATAGCATGTATTGTAAGCAAATAAGGTGTTTAGCCATGCCATGGTGTCTGGTACTGGAAGGTCAGTCTACTTGGTGGGTTTGTTTAACAGTTTGTTGTGACATGTCGTCCCACACTGCAAAAGTCCGCCAATATTAGTTTCTAAAATCCCTTTAAATGTCTTACTAAAATATTCAATTTTTTTTAATTTTAATTTTTATTGTTTTTTGTATGTTGTAATTTCAGATCGCTCTTTTTTGGCTGTAAAATTACACCACCATCACTTTCTCTGGCTATGAAATTACAACATTGCTTTTATTTTCTTTATGTTTTACACTTCTTTAATATAATTGTATATTACATTAAAAAATATTAATATGAAAATTAATATAATATTGAATAAGATATAGATATTCTTAAAGTTTTTTTTCTTTAAAATGAATAATTTATGTATTAACAGTATTTTTTATATGATGTAAATATAAATGGAAGAGCAAATATTTACTCAATGTATTCAAAGTGAAAATATATCAAGAGGAAAAAGCAGAGGTTGTTATTTCATTTTTACTGCGGCAATATTTTTGCGTGATTTTTCCTTTTCATATAAAGGGCTATTTTATTTAAAAAAAATCACATGCTGTGAGAGGGAGAATTCCTTTCACAGAATTTTGGATGTAATATACAAGTTGTCATAAATCCTAATATAGGGTTTGCATAAAAAATACTATGGAAAGAGAAGATGTTATTTTAATAATGCGCGCAGCATATATCTTGAAAATTGACTAAGCAATGTATGAATGATGTTGTGATAAAATGCGCAGTAGATGTCTTGAAGAAAAACTTGGCAAAGTAGAAGCATGACATGGAGCAGTATTCTATCTATTTATAATTTATTTTTCACTATATAAAGACCATGATTAAAAAATCTCAAAAACCATACCTTTTTATTAATTTATAATATCACTATGTCTAACAATTGAACAAGAAACGATTATATTATCTGCATGTGTACTCCGTGCACAGTGTCTAATCCATCTGGAAAGCGTCAAAGAAAGCAAAATGCAAAACAACATTACAAACAATATGGTGCACCAGTTTTGGCAGCCAGTGCAATGGGTAAATAATATAATTAAAAAAATGTTATTCTTGTGAATTTAACATAAATTATTCAATTAAATAGATATGCGAAATGAAAATGTTGATCGTATGGAAATAGACTATAATTCTGATGTTGATGTTGATTTTAATGTCAATGAAAAAGGTAAGAGAAAAAAAACAAAGTGGAAAAAAAAAGTTGACGTCTAATAGTTTTTTATTATTATAGATTATGCTATTACTCTCAATCCATTAATTGACAATGAATATACTCAGCCAATTCACATACCTTTACTCCAAGAGGATGCGATTTTTTTTTCAGAAGACGCAGGCCTGCAGTCATTTGTTATTGATGGCAATAATATTGAGGAGAGCAGAACAAGCTTTGGTTTTGAGAAAGATGAGACCTTTGAAGATCCTGCATTGAGCTCAGTGAAAATGCATGGTATGAATTTTTACAAACCCTAAAACTCTTTCATTATAACACTTGATTTGATATCTAACTAAAATGTTTGTATTTGTAGCTCATCAGTATCCTTTGAACAATATGCCTGTCTATATCCGTTTTATGGCTATCTTCATTGTTATCTTTCATTTGGTGTTTCTGGTGAATAATAGTGGATCAATCCTCATCGAATTTTGCAATATTCTTCTCTCTCTTTTTGATCTTACTGGTGCTCTTCCCTTGACAACTGACAGCTTGAAACACATCACAGGTTTCAACACAGCAACAGGCGGAATTACGGTGTATGTGATATGCTCAAAATATCATACAATTTATCCTCCAAACACAAGCACAAAAAATTGCACATTCAAATTATTCACTCATTCAAATACCTGCAACAACGCCCTATTTAAATCTACAAGTGGCAATCGTTCTTCTCCAGTGATGGTGTATCCATACAGTTCTCTCAAACACGCTTTACAACAACATTTCTTAACACCAAATTTCAAATACCGAATCAACCTTTGGAGAAATCGTCAAAAACTTGCAGAAACAAAAATGGACATATACGATGGCGCAATGTGGAATGAAATCAAAGACAATAATGACAAGCGATTTGTTGATGATGCCCGGTCTCTAATGCTGACTCTAAACATCGATTGGTTCCAACCTTTTGATGGACAAACTCATTCCAGTGGTGCCATTTATCTGTCAATTAACAATCTCCCTCGAAGTGAACGTCTAAAGTCAGAAAACATTATTCTTGTTGGTATGATGCCAGGACCAATAGTATGAACAATTACTTGAAGCCACTTGTTGACGAATTGCTTGAACTGTACACTGGTATGAAGATGTCTGATAATAGCAATGAAAATATAACTGTCTGTGCTGCATTAATATGTGTTGCGTGTGATATTCCTGCTGCAAGAAAGACATCTGGATTCACAGGACATGCAAGCATATGTGTATGCCACAAGTGCCAATGTCAGTTTACCGTGATACCCGAGACTACCCAGGTAGACTTCTCTGGATTTGAATATTCCACATGAACCAAACGTACAAAGGCCGGAAATCTGGATTATGCCAATAAGTGGAAGGAAGCCAAAAATGCAGCTGAGCGTATCCGACTTGAAAGAAGCAATGACACTTAATGGTCTCAACTTCATTTGCTTACATACTTTGATCCTGTTTGGTGTACAATCATTGACCCTATGCACAATCTCTTTCTTTGAACTGCCAAGCGCATGGTGCAGATTTGGAAAGAGCTAGAGTACTTTGACAACCAAGCTCTGTTGGCCATGCAAGATCTGGAAAATGGTGTTGTTGTTCCACCTGACTATGCACGTATCAACAAAAAGATAGCTGACAAATTTTCTTTCATAAAAGCTGACGAGTGGAAATTGTGGTGCCTTATTTACTCTCCTTTTGTTCTGAAGCACATTCTTCCAGTGAAGCATCTTTCCAACTGGATGTTTTTTGTGAATGCTTGCCGTTTACTCACAGAACCCTCTGTTACTCCTGACCATATCCAGTGCCCACGCCCATCTCCAATCGTTCTGTAAAGAGTTTGAAAAGCTGTATAAAGAATTCCCTGTCACTCCAAACATGCATTTACATCTCTATCTGGGCGAGTGTATTAATGATTTTGGCCCAATTTATGCTTTCTGGTTGTTCAGCTTTGAAAAATATAATGGGTTGCTTAAGAATCTCAACACAAATCAAAAGAGTAGATTCGAAGTAACTATGATGAAACGTTTCTTGGAAAAGGCGTACGTTGGCAACTACATCTAATCTTTTGAAAAGAAATTCTCTGCAAGCACAGTTAATTTTCTACATAGCATCACTCACAGTCAAGTTATTTTAGAGCAACCTTCTTCAATAAGCAGCTCGTTTATATTGTTCACATTTATCAAATACTCTATGAATCCTCGAAAATCAGTTATGAGATGTGAACCTTTGCCATCAGATATGCTGTCATTCAAGGTCGAGCCAAAAATTGTCATGTGCAAAGAGCATTACGAGTGTTTATATCAATATTATAGGGACGCGTACAACAGTCACAATATTTTTGGTCACTACTCAGATTGCTGTGCTGGCCAGATTTTTGTTAATAATCGTATTATAAAAGCCAAGCAGATATCTCTTCTTGGCCAACAGTATTTTTCTGGGTCTTACTTTCAAGCCCTTTTTGTCGAAAAGAAAAGTGAAGACATTTCTGCATTTCCTGGCCGCATTTTATATCTATTTCAACACACATTGAACTTTGGTAACATTGATATTATTCATACTTTTGCCTTTGTTGAATGGTATGCGAGTTACTTGTCAGGAAAGGTCCAACCACTGAAAAATGAAAAAATTGAATTGTGGCAAGAACCATCCAGTTTGCTAACTTATGAGAACATCATTCCTGTCCACTGATTGTACTCACCAGTTGCTGTAGCAAAATATAGGCCTACAATAACAAATGACTTTAAATGTCTAGTAATACCTTTATCTAAAAAAATTGAATATTAGCATATAATAATAAAGATCACTATAAATCTAGTATTTTATTCTTTCAAATAATTTTTTTATTGCAAAGGGACTTTTTTATTAGTGTTAATTCTTTGCCCAAGAAGGCAGTTTTTTCATCTTTGCATTGGTAAGCTTCTTTTCTCTTCTTCCCAAGTTCTTTCTGTCAAAAGAGCATGTCTGGCTACCTTTTGGAATATTCTGATAAATAGCATCAAGTTTTTCTACAAAATTGTCACCCTATATATTCATATAAGTAACATTAATTATTACTAAAAAAATTGTACCTTTTCACTTCTCCAACTTGGACGAAATCGCCCAAAGACTCGATCAGCAGAAGATCAGTTGTCTTCAACTTCGCAATCAGTCTCCAGGTCAGACATGTAGTCAGCATGAAGAAAGTCATCAAGACCCTCGCCATACGTTTTGACAAAGTATTCCCTATTTGTTTCTAAGGCTAAAGCTCTTTTGTTTCGTGTCTGTCCATTTTTATCTTTTATAATTATTATTTTTGTGATAAGAAATATGCAGCTATTACCTGAACACGTCTTTGGGAAAGACATCCAACTCGGTTTGTTTCTGCAGTTTGATCATCAGTCTTCTTTCCTTTCAACTTTTGGCTTGAAATATAACGCAAAACCTTTCTTCTGATTTTGCCTGGTGTAATAAGTTTGCTCTCAGCCTGATTACAAAGGTAATCTACAACAGACTTGATAATATGCCTGTTTGCCTCAAAATATGCACTTTGCGTTTTATCATATTTCTCATATAACTGTTCTTCTTGTATGTACGGTCGCAATAATTGCTAAAATAATTCAACGATGAGTAATTCATTTAACTACAAAACTAGCTTGACTACTTACATCCAAGACTGGATAGCATTCAGGTGAGAGAGCTTGTTCAACAGCCTTGCTTGCTTCTGCTTCTATATTTTCAGAAGTAATAGTTGTTTTGCCACTACGCAAAAACGTATTGACTTCTGAGATTTTTTTTGTAAACCTCATCAATGGTATGGCCATCACCCAATGAAGTCTGAACTGTGTTCAAGCAAGGTCTTTTTGATGATAAATCTGCATCAGAATTATCAATCCCCTGAGATCATTTTCGCATCAAAGCAAAAATCTTGCCAGCATTCCTTGATAAGTGATCATAATGGTTATCATAAGTAAAAATATATTATTGCAGAAAAAGAAACAGCATATTATTACGTTTGCTCAGCAGAATCAATGTTGCTGCCATTATCATTGGCAGTAGTAGTGGTGGTAGTTGTGGTAGCTCTGGCAGCCTTGTTAGCTTTTTTAGAAGTGTATTTTCTTGGCATGATAAACAATAAAGTATAGTAGCTTTTAAAACATATTTTTTTATTTATACCAAGTTTGATTTGGGCTTGATGTTTGACTTTTCTTTTCTCGGGGAACACAAGGAGAGGTTTATGTTTTTATTTAACTGAATAAAAATAAATATGCTTTATATCATAATAGTACTGGTTTTATCCATTCAATTAGCGCCCATTTCCATCTAATTAGCATCCGTTTCCATCTAATTAGAACCCATTGACATCTGATTGGCTTCCATAGAAATTGAATTTGCGTCCATTGCCAACTGAATTTGCTCCCATTGCCATCTGAATTTGCTCCCCCCTTTTACTATTGGCGGAAGGGTACATGGCACTCAATTTTTTTATCCTTACGCCTTACAATTTTTTTTATATAACCATAGTATTTTTTTTTGTAAACGTCGTACTTTTTTTTGTAAACGTTGTACTTTTTTTTGTAAACGTTGTACTTTTTTTTTTGTAAACGTCGAATTTTTTTATATAACCGTAGTATTTTTTTTTGTAAGCGTCGTATTTTTTTTATATAACTGCCATATTTTTTTATATAAGTGCCAAACGCCTAATGTAATAGCACTTCAATATATGTAGATCTTTCTACAAAGATACGTCATAGAAAATATCTATAGAGAGAACTAACAGAATATGCAAACTTTTCTCCAGATTACTTTGTTAAAGTTAAATACCTTACTGCAGTTATAAGATAATAAAGCAAGTATCTCATTATAATAATTATGTTAAAATTGAAAATGCAATGATATTATTTGTATTCTTTCTTTATTGCAGAGTAAGTTTCGAATAAAAGATTCATTTTTTCGTCACTTGTAGCCTCCTTGTTGTTTTTAATGAAAAAAACAACTAGAGACTTTCTCCACTTCAAAATATAGCCACCAGCAGTTGTTTATTTCATATTTACTATCTTGCTGGCTTTTTCAATAGTTAATCCCCTTATGAAGTAGAGATAAACAAGCTTTTTTATATCTTTATCCGTAGGCTTTTGATATTGCCCTCTACTTTTTTTGGGGGTTTCGTCTGTTGTTGACGGGGCAGAACTTTTTGGATCTTCTGGCATTTCAGGCTCTTCAAGCTCTTCCATGATTTTTTCAAAGGCACTGTTATATTCTTCAAGTTTTTCGTGTAACATTGTAGGGTTTTCTGATAATAAAAGGTGAAAAAATAAAGAAATAGGAAGATATGTTAAAGTGACATATTTTATATAAATATAGTTATATCTAGCACATAGCAGTTATAATTAAATAGTAATTACTTAAGATACAAGATAAAAATCAGAACACAAGTTGAAGCAGCAAGAATAGATGTAAAGAAGATTGAGTTGTTGTTAAATAGTATTAGTCATTATATTTTCAGCTTTTTATATCAAAAAATAATATTCCAAGGTCCACTAAATTAAGTAGTACAAATTAAACTCAAGAAGATAAAAAATAAATAGGACAATATATTACCCGCAGCCATAAATTTATTATAAACATTCTTTTTTAAAAGAGATATTATAATTCTCTCTCTTTCCATTTGGTGTTTATATACCAAAACTGTTTATTTCTCTTCTTAAATCAGCAATAAATCTCATTCTCATGCTCACTTCAACAACTAAATATTACTCTGACAATGAAAACACTGCCTAAAGCTCTACACCTCATGGATTTTTTTATTATTTCCAGATCACATTATGTTTTTGTATGTAAATAAAGCCTATACCTCGGAGTCATTGATATTAATCTCTAAATAATCTATAGTATTTTGAACAAAAGCTATAAATCTGAAAAGAAAACGTGACGATTCAACCCTCAACCTACAAAGAAACTACAAGATCAAACATCTACCTGTACGATAGGAACCAGTCTACACATATTCATAATGCTTTTAAGTGCATTTCACCGACTATACTTTTTCGAAATCCAACAGTAGAATTCACTTTACCAACCACACAAAAACTTGCCAATTTTTATCTCAAATATCCAGTAATCTGATTGACTACCACAGCAATTGTATTTCTTATGAACCTGGTCCTACACAAGCATCTAATACCATTATAAAAAAGAATCCAAAAATGCTATATTTATTCAGCACCTGCTCCAACCATTTTATAATGTCAGAATTCTGATCTTCTTAATATCAAACTCAACAACTCTTTGTAATCTGCACTCGAAACAAGTAAATGTCCAACAATCTGTTAAACAACTGAAAGCGGTCCAAGAATTATGCTTTGCTCACAATACTACCCGATCTCAATTTTGGAAACCCTCATGATACAAAATACCAAAAAAAACCAAATATTACACACACAAAAACAGTAACAAAAAATAGCACAAGCTCATGACAAAAAAAAGAAATAAAAAAAGAGATGAAAAAAAAAGAGATGAAAAAATAAAAAAAATAAAAAAAAGAAATAAAAAAAAAATAAAAAATAAAAAAAAAAGAAATAAAAAAAAAATAAAAAAAAAATAAAAAAAAGAAATAAAAAAAAAGAAAAAAAAAGAAATAAAAAAAAAGAAATAAAAAAAAAAAGAAATAAAAAAAAGAAATAAAAAAAATAGAAATAAAAAAAAAAAAAAAGAGAAATAAAAAAAAGAAAAATGTAATAGCAATTTTAAAAATAATTCTCCAAATAGTATAACTAGCATTTTTATTCATAAATTTTTATAATATACATAACCATTTTTTCGCAAATAATTTCTGAAAAACTGAAAGTCTCAATAACTGAAAATAAAATGATATCTTACTGCAAGAAATATCTGAAAAACTGAAAAACTGAAAAACTGAAAGTCTCAATAACTGAAAATAAAATGATATCTTACGGCAAGAAATATCTGAAAAACTGAAAAACTGAAAAACTGAAAGTCTCAATAACTGAAAAAATGAAAGTCTCAATAACTGAAAATCTCAATAACTGAATTTCGAGCTTTTCCTTGGCTCTATACAAAAAAAAACTTTCTTTTTTTTATTTTTTTTTATTTTTTTATTTTTTTTTGGTTGGGCAAACCCATGAGGAGAAATCCCACCCCTTCCTTTGAGACAGAGAACAGGACACCATAAAGGCTCTGGTAGCACTGTAAATCGGCTAATAAAATAAACGTTCTTAAAAGTGTGAAGAAGCTTAATATGTAAACATTCATTATTCTTCAACATGTTCTTTATCCAAATATATTAAGACAACAGGACAAGACTATACCTTGGTAGAAACGTTTAAGTTATTAAAATATATTTTTTTTTGGTATATATACCCCAGTGTCTTAATAAAAGTTTCTCAGTTATCTTTCTTCCTCGATTTTAACACCCTTTTTATTTTCAAAAAAAATGCCTACTTCCAACAACTCCCTCGAATTTGTTATGGACAAGCACTGTAAAATGGTCAGTCACAGCGGTTCTGCAGACCAAACCCAGTTTTCTGGAATTGCTTTCGACCCCTTGTGCGATTTCAACCAAGAGATTGTCGACGAAATGCATGGAGAAGTTGTACTCCGATCTGTGACAGATGTCTTTGTCAACCATGCCGATATGGAATGGACCCATACCTCGGCGGGAAACCCAGCAGTCACAAACCTCCTCAGTCTCAAAAGTTTCCTGCCAACCGAAGTCAACGAGGCCACAACCAAGACAATTGTTGCACAGAAGCCGAAGACGAATCTGTCGGAGAAGGTCGATCCTGATTCTGTTCCCACTGCAGAAAGCATAGGTCGAGGTTCGTACCGAAAGTACAACCAAAACCAGGTGAACAAGCTCTTCTCCTTGGTTTTCTCGGAAAACCAGACTGCTGCTGCCGCTGCCAGGGAAATGGGGATCAATGTCCGGACTGCCCAGAACTATGTCAGGCTAGCCAGAGAGAAGATCCAGGCCGATTTTGATGCTGCCACAGTGGAGACTGATGAGTCCAATGGGCTGGAGACGATGGAGGTTGAGGAGGTTTCTGCGCCTAAAGAACGAAAACATGGCAACCAAAAGTTGTTCCAGGCACACTCTGCTTTTTTTTGAAGTTTTTCGAAAATAAACCAGATGCTACCTTGGAACAAGCAAGGATAGCTGTCATGGAAGAGTTCTCTGGGCTGCAGATTACTAAATCAGCAATCCAGAAGCACTTGGTGAAGAAGTGTGCCCTGACGATGAAGAAGTTGGAGAAGCTGCCTGAGAAGAGAGACGACGCCAACACAATTGAGATGAGACGAGACCGCATTTTGGAGTGGCAACAACTTGCGGATTTCAACTATCTGTCGAACTGTGTGTTCATCGATGAAGCAGGCTTCAACATGCGCATCAAGAGAACTTTTGGCCGTTCCGTCAGTGGCACCCCGGCTAAGACAACTGTCCCGACGCAGAGAGGTGTGTCCATCACCATCCTTGGTGCAATGTGCGAGAGAGGGATTGTCAGCCTCTCGTTGAAGAAACCCACTGCAGTCGCAACCAAGAAGAAGAGAAAGTTGGACATCTACACCAACGTTGAGGTGAACGGCCTAATTGGCACCAGAACCCAGCACTACCCCGACTTTCTTAGTCATACAATGGACGTTCTGGACAGCCAGGGTATGCAAGGACGTTATCTCATCATGGATAACGCTCCTATCCATAAGGCCAATGAAGTGAAAGACTTTATTTCTTCCCGTGGGTACAAGTGTGCATATCTTCCTGTGTATTCACCTTTCCTGAATCCAATTGAGGAAATGTGGTCCAAGATCAAGTTTGGTGTCCGCAGAGAAGAGATTACAGAGTCAGACGGGCTCATCTTAAGGATTACAGAATCAGCTAAGACTGTCACCCTTTCGGACTGTTTGGGTTGGATTAACCATGCCATTTCATTCTTTCCTCGCTGTTTGAACAGAGAGCGAAAGCTTTAAGTATGTCTTTTATGTCTATTTAAGCTCTTTACACTCTATGTCTTTTTTTATTTTATTTTTATTTTTTACTACTTTATGTCCCTCTTTTTCTTATTTTTTTTTTACTACTTTATATCCCTCTTTTTCTTATTTTTTTTTTACCACTTTATGTCCCTCTTTTTCTTATTTTTTTTACCACTTTATGTCCTTCTTTTTTTATTTATTTTACTGCTTTATGCTTTTCTTTTTTTATTACTTTGTATTTCATTATATCTTACTTCTTATTATGTGTTCTATTTCTCTATCAACTAATTATGCCTAATAAAAATATCCATGTTTTATGCCAAAAAATACGACGTTTACAAAAAAAAAATACTACGGTTATATAAAAAAAATTTGACGTTTACAAAAAAAAATACGACGTTTACAAAAAAAAAGTACGACGTTTACAAAAAAAAGTACGACGTTTACAAAAAAAAATACTACGGTTATATAAAAAAAATTGTAAGGCACAAGGATAAAAAAATTGAGTGCCATGTACTCTTCCGCCAATAGTAAAAGGGGGGAGCAAATTCAGATGGCAATGGGAGCAAATTCAGTTGGCAATGGACGCAAATTCAATTTCTATGGAAGCCAATCAGATGTCAATGGGTTCTAATTAGATGGGAACGGATGCTAATTAGATGGAAATGGGCACCAATTGAATGGATAAAACCAGTAGTGAATTTAAACGTTTAGTAATCCCTTTACCCCAAAAAATAGAAGCTTAAATAATATTAATAAAATACCACTTTGCACTCTTTTATCAATTTATTAGAAAATGTTTGATTTATTGTCTTATTGTTTCTTTGACCATGATGGCAGCTTGTTTGCCTTGGTCTTACTAAGCTGCTTATCTCTTATTCCTTTAAATTTATGCTCGAATTGACGGGTATTATTTTTCTTATCATGAGCTGCCTCATAATGCGCATCAAGTTCATCAACGAACCTATCTCCCTATATGTCAATGTAAGTATTATTACACACCATCCAAAAAAATAGTTTTTTGTACTATACCTCTTCGCTTCTCCAGCTTGGGCGGAATCTCCAAAAAAAACTCTTTTCTGAGGACGAATCCTGTTCCTCTTCTTCTCTTTCGTCATCACTCTCAAGGTCTGACATGTAATCAGCATGGAGAATACTGTCAACATTCTCTCCAAAGCTGTTCACAAAGTGTGCCCGATTGGCTTTCAAGGCAGATTGTCTTCTTTCACATGACTATATATAAATATATAATATTTCTAATTTAATATCACATCTAGTATATTGTGTGCATGTGTTTTTTACCTTTACACGTCGCTGACGAAGACAGGCCCGTCGATTCTCTTCCTGCTTCTTTTCTCCTGTTTTTTTTTCTTGCAACTTTCTGTTGCCAATGTGCCGCACAATCTTAGTTCGAAGAGTTGGCAAGTCCACCTTTTTCCCCTCTTCTTGACGACGAAGGTAATCGGTAACAGACTTCAGAACGAGTCTGTTTCCCTCACTGTTTTTATTTTCATTGGTATTGTATTGGTCATACAATTTCTCTTCACTCAAATAATTGCGCAACAATTGCTATAATATAAATGTATATTAAATTCTATCTACATAAAAACATATTATGATTACTTACATCCAATGTTGGTTGACGTCCAGGCGACATGTCTTGCTCAACTGCATTACTAGCAGTGGCTTCGGCTTTCTCAGAAGATGTGTTCTTCAAAACAGTGTTTAAGACACCATTCATGGTATCAAGTTTCTCGTACACATCATGGATGTTACGAGTTCTACCTGACGAATCACCTTCAAGATTCAACCGAGCTCTCTTTGGTGCTAGTGGTCTTTGATTGCTCACTGTTCCCTGTGAGTGTTGCAACATTATCGTCCTTATATCATTGGTATTTCTTGGTGGGCTTTTTTTTGATTTTTATAAAAAACGAAAATAAAATTAATATAAAAAAATTGAAGACTGTCTGGTTTTAATCTACCTTCCCACAGAAGGTTCTTCACCAAAAGCATTGTTAACTGAATTGTTATTGAGATTTCTTGACATTGTGAATAATAAGAATAGCTTGGTTTTTTTTAAATCCAAAGGGTCTATTTATATTATGTTTAATTTGGGCTTTAAGTTTTATTCTTTCTCAGAGAACACCATGATCTATTACATAACAAGAACAGCTTTGAATGTTTCCACTCTTGTTGTGAGTATTTTATGTGTTTCTTTAATTTAATTTTCAATCCATGTTTTATTCTTATATTATGTATTAGTATTTGAATAATATGATTTTATACTATACTCTGTTTTTCATATGTATTAGCTGCTGGCATAGTGCAACTGCGTTTTCTTTCAATTCTAAGTTACAGACAAAAATTATTTTTTGATTTATTTATTTTTAAAAAAAAACCCCGAATTCGTATTTAATAGAATAACCGCGCCCCTCTTTTTTATTTTCTCTTTCTTTAACCTGCTCTTCTCGTTTTGTCTCTTTTTATATGTCTTGGTAAGCTTACTCTTAAGATCTCAACTTTTATTAATACTTTCGGCTTTTAGAATCATCTTAATATATATTAGATAAACAATACACTCAACAAGCATTCAAAACAGTACAGGTAATAAACAATCTCCTAACCAAAATGAAACACCTTGCTGACTAAATATCTTTTATTTTTAAAATGATAGGGCTTCTACCCATTTTGTAACAAAAGATGTTTTGCTCTTGACACTATATACTTTCTGGTATTTTCAGTCTATGAAAAGGTAATATATATATAACTCAACTTAAATAATGTAACTTATCAATTCTTCTTCTCAGATAAATATGTCACGCCTTTTTTTCAAGTCATACTGGTTTGCCCCCTTTTGCAAATGCGTGTCTATAATATGTAAGTAATTCAAGTGTCTTTACAATCAAAGCGTACATATTAATAAAGTTGTTTATTTTATTTCTTGCTTTTTATTTAAAAGAAAATATCAATCAAACAGATTTTTATTCTATCGCGAGATTTGTTATGAACCCCCATAAATGATCTAGTAAATATGTTATTTAATTTTATTTCATAAAGAAACCTGTATTAATACTTCTGTATCTTTTTTTGCTCTAAGCTAATGTAGTTCCAAACAAACGTATTCTCCAAGAAAATACCAAGGATTTCATTTTCAGTTAAAGAAGTGTAAAACCAAAAAACGCGCCGAATACATGAAACCGATATGGTAGGGAAGTATAGTACAAGTTAGGTCGTCCAATCTATTCAAGCCGTCCAATAAATGAAAGTATAACATGTATAAAAGTCGTACTATTCGGATACACACTTTTAAAGAAGTATTAGTGGTCCATATTAAATAGCTAAATATATTTTCCAACCATTCAAAAATCAATAAAAACCATTTTTTCCATGAGATTCTATTTCAAATGCGTCATCTCTTGATGATGTCAACAAGATCTATTTAAGTTTTTTTTTACAATCATTCATTTGAATGCTGGTTCCTGTCAGATTTCAGACTGATTCTAGGTCGATTTTAGTGAGGTCTATCCAATAATATCATGTAATTAAAGCAAATAAAATTTTTTAAGAGGTAGAGAGTTCAAAGCCAATTCCATAACAAGAAGAGTTTAGGTACGGTTTGAAGTTATGGGTGAATATATAACCAGAATTACAGACAATTATAACATTTCAAGAAAAGGGGGAATTATAACTCTCAATTTATCTATTGATTTTAGTATCTATAATCTCATCATTTGGTTAACTAAATGAACCAATTTTTGTAATAAATACCGAACTATAATTGAACATAAACCACCGATTTTCAGAGGATTTAAACAAAAATTAAGCTACTTAAATCGGTTGTCTTTTGCAGTGAAAGTTTGGCATGTTCTGATGGATGTTGATAAACATTTCCAATATTGACTGAAAAATGACTTGTCAAAAAAATGCATTTTTCTCAACAGAAAAAAATCTTGTTCAATAAAATCTTCTCTTTCAGAGCTATCCATTTTCTCCCCCCATTTTAAAGTTTGTCTCCGTCTGAATTTCAATTAAGTGGCTCACAAAATATATTTAATCCTTTTTTGGCACATATCTCATTACTGGTTTTATCCATTCAATTGGCGCCCATTTCCATCTAATTAGCATCCATTTCCATCTAATTAGAACCCATTGACATCTGATTGGCTTCCATAGAAATTGAATTTGCGTCCATTGCCAACTGAATTTGCTCCCATTGCCATCTGAATTTGCTCCCCCCCTTTTACTATTGGCGGAAGAGTACATGGCACTCAATTTTTTTATCCTTGTGCCTTACAATTTTTTTTATATAACCGTAGTATTTTTTTTTGTAAACGTCGTACTTTTTTTTGTAAACGTCGTACTTTTTTTTTGTAAACGTCGTATTTTTTTTTGTAAACGTCAAATTTTTTTTATATAACCGTAGTATTTTTTTTTTGTAAACGTCGTATTTTTTTGGCATAAAACATGGATATTTTTATTAGGCATAATTAGTTGATAGAGAAATAGAACACATAATAAGAAGTAAGATATAATGAAATACAAAGTAATAAAAAAAGAAAAGCATAAAGCAGTAAAATAAATAAAAAAAGAAGGACATAAAGTGGTAAAAAAAATAAGAAAAAGAGGGACATAAAGTGGTAAAAAAAAAATAAGAAAAAGAGGGATATAAAGTAGTAAAAAAAAAATAAGAAAAAGAGGGACATAAAGTAGTAAAAAATAAAAATAAAATAAAAAAAGACATAGAGTGTAAAGAGCTTAAATAGACATAAAAGACATACTTAAAGCTTTCGCTCTCTGTTCAAACAGCGAGGAAAGAATGAAATGGCATGGTTAATCCAACCCAAACAGTCCGAAAGGGTGACAGTCTTAGCTGATTCTGTAATCCTTAAGATGAGCCCGTCTGACTCTGTAATCTCTTCTCTGCGGACACCAAACTTGATCTTGGACCACATTTCCTCAATTGGATTCAGGAAAGGTGAATACACAGGAAGATATGCACACTTGTACCCACGGGAAGAAATAAAGTCTTTCACTTCATTGGCCTTATGGATAGGAGCGTTATCCATGATGAGATAACGTCCTTGCATACCCTGGCTGTCCAGAACGTCCATTGTATGACTAAGAAAGTCGGGGTAGTGCTGGGTTCTGGTGCCAATTAGGCCGTTCACCTCAACGTTGGTGTAGATGTCCAACTTTCTCTTCTTCTTGGTTGCGACTGCAGTGGGTTTCTTCAACGAGAGGCTGACAATCCCTCTCTCGCACATTGCACCAAGGATGGTGATGGACACACCTCTCTGCGTCGGGACAGTTGTCTTAGCCGGGGTGCCACTGACGGAACGGCCAAAAGTTCTCTTGATGCGCATGTTGAAGCCTGCTTCATCGATGAACACACAGTTCGACAGATAGTTGAAATCCGCAAGTTGTTGCCACTCCAAAATGCGGTCTCGTCTCATCTCAATTGTGTTGGCGTCGTCTCTCTTCTCAGGCAGCTTCTCCAACTTCTTCATCGTCAGGGCACACTTCTTCACCAAGTGCTTCTGGATTGCTGATTTAGTAATCTGCAGCCCAGAGAACTCTTCCATGACAGCTATCCTTGCTTGTTCCAAGGTAGCATCTGGTTTATTTTCGAAAAACTTCAAAAAAAAGCAGAGTGTGCCTGGAACAACTTTTGGTTGCCATGTTTTCGTTCTTTAGGCGCAGAAACCTCCTCAACCTCCATCGTCTCCAGCCCATTGGACTCATCAGTCTCCACTGTGGCAGCATCAAAATCGGCCTGGATCTTCTCTCTGGCTAGCCTGACATAGTTCTGGGCAGTCCGGACATTGATCCCCATTTCCCTGGCAGCGGCAGCAGCAGTCTGGTTTTCCGAGAAAACCAAGGAGAAGAGCTTGTTCACCTGGTTTTGGTTGTACTTTCGGTACGAACCTCGACCTATCACAGGAGAAATGACCCTGAATACCCTTGTGTGAAGGTTCATGGTTACATGTGGATATTTAGAGCAATTTTTCATCTCAGCATGTTTTTTGGTGTACATGTTCATAAAGTCATGTTGTAATTTTCTATTGGCTCGGATATAATAACCATCCAAGTTATTTTATCATTATTATTATTATTATTATAAAGTTTGAACAAATAAAGTAAATGTAACACTTGTTTCCCTTTTATCTTAACATTTATAACAAAATAAACACCATGTCCTCTACTTCTGAACTTTATAATAAGAAGTGCTATTGCACAAAATGCAGCGATAATCAACAAGGCTACAGCTTTGTTTCTACACGAACCCTCCAGCGTCACAATAAAAGAGCAAGATATGAAGACAGGGAAAGAAGTGAAAGAAGTATGTTTTGTTTTTCATTTTCATTTTCATTTTGGTTATTTTATATAATGTTTTATTTCAATAGATATATCTGTTCAAAGAAATCTCATGGATATTGATTTTGAAAGTAAGAAACGTTAATTGTGATAAAAAGAGAAGTAAACTAAAAATTGAATTCTATATGTAGCTACATCAAACCAACAAACCGGACCCATAGAAGCAATGGACGGTCAGACCAACTCGCCTGTTTGGGAAGGAGCCCCAATTTCTGACGATGAGGTTGCTTTTAGCAATGAGTCGAATGGCGAAAGCAGTGATGGTGATGAAAATGACAATGACGAAGAAAGCAATGGCGGTGAAGAAAGTGAAGACAATGAAGAGAATATTGTTGAGATTGAAATCGAAGAATTCGATACTGAAGGTCAGTCCGTGTTAATTAACTACTGGTTTTATCCATTCAATTGGCGCCCATTTCCATCTAATTAGCATCCGTTTCCATCTAATTAGAACCCATTGACATCTGATTGGCTTCCATAGAAATTGAATTTGCGTCCATTGCCAACTGAATTTGCTCCCATTGCCATCTGAATTTGCTCCCCCCCTTTTACTATTGGTGAAAGGGTACATGGCACTCAATTTTTTTATCCTTGCGCCTTACAATTTTTTTTATATAACCGTAGTATTTTTTTTTGTAAACGTCGTACTTTTTTTTGTAAACGTCGTACTTTTTTTTTGTAAACGTCGTATTTTTTTTTGTAAACGTCGAATTTTTTTTATATAACCGTAGTATTTTTTTTTTGTAAACGTTGTATTTTTTTTATATAACCGTAGTATTTTTTTTGTAAACGCCGTATTTTTTTTATATAACTGCCATATTTTTTTATATAAGTGCCAAACGCCTAATGTAATAGCACTTCAATATATGTAGATCTTTCTACAAAGATACGTCATAGAAAATATCTATAGAGAGAACTAACAGAATATGCAAACTTTTCTCCAGATTACTTTGTTAAAGTTAAATACCTTACTGCAGTTATAAGATAATAAAGCAAGTATCTCATTATAATAATTATGTTAAAATTGAAAATGCAATGATATTATTTGTATGCTTTCTTTATTGCAGAGTAAGTTTCGAATAAAAGATTCATTTTTTCGTCACTTGTAGCCTCCTTGTTGTTTTTAATGAAAAAAACAACTGGAGACTTTCTCCACTTCAAAATATAGCCACCAGCAGTTGTTTGTTTCATATTTACTATCTTGCTGGCTTTTTCGATAGTTAATCCCCTTATGAAGTAGAGATAAAGAAGCTTTTTTATATCTTTATCCGTAGGCTTTTGATATTGCCCTCTACTTTTTTTGGGGGTTTCGTCTGTTGTTGACGGGGCAGAACTTTTTGGATCTTCTGGCATTTCAGGCTCTTCAAGCTCTTCCATGATTTTTTCAAAGGCACTGTTATATTCTTCAAGTTTTTCGTGTAACATTGTAGGGTTTTCTGATAATAAAAGGTGAAAAAATAAAGAAATAGGAAGATATGTTAAAGTGACATATTTTATATAAATATAGTTATATCTAGCACATAGCAGTTATAATTAAATAGTAATTACTTAAGATGCAAGATAAAAATCAGAACACAAGTTGAAGCAGCAAGAATAGATGTAAAGAAGATTGAGTTGTTGTTAAATAGTATTAGTCATTATATTTTCAGCTTTTTATATCAAAAAATAATATTCCAAGGTCCACTAAATAAAGTAGTACAAATTGAACTCAAGGAGATAAAAAATAAATAGGACAATATATTACCCGCAGCCATAAATTTATTATAAACATTCTTTTTTAAAAGAGATATCATAATTCTCTCTCTTTCCATTTGGTGTTTATATACCAAAACTGTTTATTTCTCTTCTTAAATCAGCAATGAATCTCATTCTCATGCTCACTTCAACAACTAAATATTACTCTGACAATGAAAACACTGCCTAAAGCTCTACACCTCATGGATTTTTTTATTATTTCCAGATCACATTATGTTTCTGTATGTAAATAAAGCCTATACCTCGGAGTCATTGATATTAATCTCTAAATAATCTATAGTATTTTGAACAAAAGCTATAAATCTGAAAAGAAAACGTGACGATTCAACCCTCCACCTACAAAGAAACTACAAGATCAAACATCTACCTGTACGATAGGAACCAGTCTACACATATTCATAATGCTTTTAAGTGCATTCCACCGACTATACTTTTTCGAAATCCAACAGTAGAATTCACTCTACCGACCACACAAAAACTTGCCAATTTTTATCTCAAATATCCAGTAATCTGATTGACTACCACAGCAATTGTATTTCTTATGAACCTGGTCCTACACAAGCATCTAATACCATTACAAAAAAGAATCCAAAAATGCTATATTTATTCAGCACCTGCTCCAACCATTTTACAATGTCAGAATCCTGATCTTCTTAATATCAAACTCAACAACTCTTTGTAATCTGCACTCGAAACAAGTAAATGTCCAACAATCTGTTAAACAACTGAAAGCGGTCCAAGAATTATGCTTTGCTCACAATACTACCCGATCTCAATTTTGGAAACCCTCATGATACAAAATACTAAAAAAAACCCAAATATTACACACACAAAAACAGTAACAAAAAATAGCACAAGCTCATGACAAAAAAAAGAAATAAAAAAAGAGATGAAAAAAAAAAGAGATGAAAAAATAAAAAAAATAAAAAAAAGAAATAAAAAAAAAATAAAAAAATAAAAAAAAAAGAAATAAAAAAAAAATTAAAAAAAAAAATAAAAAAAAGAAATAAAAAAAAAGAAAAAAAAAGAAATAAAAAAAAAAGAAATAAAAAAAATAGAAATAAAAAAAAGAAAAAAAAAAAGAAATAAAAAAAAGAAAAATGTAATAGCAATTTTAAAAATAATTCTCCAAATAGTATAACTAGCATTTTTATTCATAAATTTTTATAATATACATAACCATTTTTTCGCAAATAATTTCTGAAAAACTGAAAGTCTCAATAACTGAAAATAAAATGATATCTTACTGCAAGAAATTTCTGAAAAACTGAAAAACTGAAAAACTGAAAGTCTCAATAACTGAAAAAATGAAAGTCTCAATAACTGAAAAACTGAAAATCTTAATAACTGAAAATAAAATGGTATCTAACCGCAGAAATTTCTGAAAAACTGAAAATCTCAATAACTGAATTTCGAGCTTTTCCTTGGCTCTATACAAAAAAAAACTTTCTTTTTTTTTTATTTTTTTTTTTTTTATTTTTTTTTATTTTTTTTTTGGTTGGGCAAACCCATGAGGAGAAATCCCACCCCTTCCTTCGAGACAGAGGACAGGACACCATAAAGGCTCTGGTAGCACTGTAAATCGGCTAATAAAATAAATGTTCTTAAAAGTGTGAAGAAGCTTAATATGTAAACATTCATTATTCTTCAACACGTTCTTTATCCAAATATATTAAGACAACAGGACAAGACTATACCTTGGTAGAAACGTTTAAGTTATTAAAATATATTTTTTTTTGGTATATATACCCCAGTGTCTTAATAAAAGTTTCTCAGTTATCTTTCTTCCTCGATTTTAACACCCTTTTTATTTTCAAAAAAAAATGCCTACTTCCAACAACTCCCTCGAATTTGTTATGGACAAGCACTGTGAAATGGTCAGTCACAGCGGTTCTGCAGACCAAACCCAGTTTTCTGGAATTGCTTTCGACCCCTTGTGCGATTTCAACCAAGAGATTGTCGACGAAATGCATGGAGAAGTTGTACTCCGATCTGTGACAGATGTCTTTGTCAACCATGCCGATATGGAATGGACCCGTACCTCGGCTGGAAACCCAGCAGTCACAAACCTCCTCAGTCTCAAAAGTTTCCTGCCAACCGAAGTCAACGAGGCCACAACCAAGACAATTGTTGCACAGAAGCCGAAGACGAATCTGCCGGAGAAGGTCGATCCTGATTCTGTTCCCACTGCAGAAAGCATAGGTCGAGGTTCGTACCGAAAGTACAACCAAAACCAGGTGAACAAGCTCTTCTCCTTGGTTTTCTCGGAAAACCAGACTGCTGCTGCCGCTGCCAGGGAAACGGGGATCAATGTCCGGACTGCCCAGAACTATGTCAGGCTGGCCAGAGAGAAGATCCAGGCCGATTTTGATGCTGCCACAGTGGAGACTGATGAGTCCAATGGGCTGGAGACGATGGAGGTTGAGGAGGTTTCTGCGCCTAAAGAACGAAAACATGGCAACCAAAAGTTGTTCCAGGCGCACTCTGCTTTTTTTTTGAAGTTTTTCGAAAATAAACCAGATGCTACCTTGGAACAAGCAAGGATAGCTGTCATGGAAGAGTTCTCTGGGCTGCAGATTACCAAATCAGCAATCCAGAAGCACTTGGTGAAGAAGTGTGCCCTGACGATGAAGAAGTTGGAGAAGCTGCCTGAGAAGAGAGACGACGCCAACACAATTGAGATGAGACGAGACCGCATTTTGGAGTGGCAACAACTTGCGGATTTCAACTATCTGTCGAACTGTGTGTTCATCGATGAAGCAGGCTTCAACATGCACATCAAGAGAACTTTTGGCCGTTCCGTCAGTGGCACCCCAGCAAAGACAACTGTCCCGACGCAGAGAGGTGTGTCCATCACCATCCTTGGTGCAATGTGCGAGAGAGGGATCGTCAGCCTCTCGTTGAAGAAACCCACTGCAGTCGCAACCAAGAAGAAGAGAAAGTTGGACATCTACACCAACGTTGAGGTGAACGGTCGAATTGGCACCAGAACCCAGCACTACCTCGACTTTCTTAGTCATACAATGGACGTTCTGGACAGCCAGGGTATGCAAGGACGTTATCTCATCATGGATAACGCTCCTATCCATAAGGCCGATGAGGTGAAAGACTTTATTTCTTCCCGTGGGTACAAGTGTGCATATCTTCCTGTGTATTCACCTTTCCTGAATCCAATTGAGGAAATGTGGTCCAAGATCAAGTTTGGTGTCCGCAGAGAAGAGATTACAGAGTCAGACGGGCTCATCTTAAGGATTACAGAATCAGCTAAGACTGTCACCCTTTCGGACTGTTTGGGTTGGATTAACCATGCCATTTCATTCTTTCCTCGCTGTTTGAACAGAGAGCGAAAGCTTTAAGTATGTCTTTTATGTCTATTTAAGCTCTTTACACTCTATGTCTTTTTTTATTTTATTTTTATTTTTTACTACTTTATGTCCCTCTTTTTCTTATTTTTTTTTTACTACTTTATATCCCTCTTTTTCTTATTTTTTTTACCACTTTATGTCCCTCTTTTTTTATTTATTTTACTGCTTTATGCTTTTCTTTTTTTATTACTTTGTATTTCATTATATCTTACTTCTTATTATGTGTTCTATTTCTCTATCAACTAATTATGCCTAATAAAAATATCCATGTTTTATGCCAAAAAAATACGACGTTTACAAAAAAAAATACTACGGTTATATAAAAAAAATTCGACGTTTACAAAAAAAAATACGACGTTTACAAAAAAAAATACGACGTTTACAAAAAAA